TATTGCCTCCCAGGATTTGCTCTTCGAGCAGCTATCAGACTCCCTCCAGCGGTCGTCACCCAGCAAGTTCATCCGGCTCCGGTCTTCAGAGGCGACCAACCTGAAGAATGCCCTCAAGAAGATCATTCAAGACGCCACGTCGAAAACGCTCGTGGTCGACGGCGAAGAAGACTTGCAGCTCGGGCAAGGATCGAGTCGACGCTACCTGCCGTATGACCTTGAGGCGCTGCATGTTTTCCTGGAGCACCAGCCGCAAGAAAATATCTTTGTGGCCTTTCAGGACAGCGAAGCTTTTGACAGCGGGTTGCTGTCGGATATCATTACCCTGCTTAGTTCATGGCGACCACAGATTCCATTTACTCTGCTCTTTGGAATTGCCACATCCATTGATTTACTGGAAGGCCGCTTGTTAAAGGCAGCGTGTCGGCTCATTCATGGTGCACAATTCGACTGTGTACAGACAGATACCATCTTGGAGAGGGTATTCGAAGGAGCGGTAGTATCCAGCGATGTTCCTCTAAGGCTGGGCCCGCAAATCCTCAGGGGCATGCTCGACCGTCAACGGGATCAGATGGCGGGCATTCAGGCATTCATGAGCTCGTTGAAGGTGAGAAATGATGGCGAATGAAATTTAGCCTTGAAGCTGACGGCCATCCAGTACATTTACATGTGTCACTTCTACGCCAACGCACTCAGCGTCTTACTGATCCCCGAGACTGGAGAGGGAGAGGCGATCCTCCAGGCTGAGCACATCGAAGCACTGCGGCATCTCCCCTCGTTCCGACATGAGGTGGAGGCCGCTGTTGGGGCCGCGACCGCCGATAGCCTTCAGCATGCACGCTCGCTTCTAGAGGACGACGATTATCTACTTGCGCAGGCCCGAGCCAGCAATAACCATCGACAAGACTGGATGGACAATCATCTACGCTTACTCCTAGTCAGGGAGGCTGCAGGTGCTGTGCAGCCCCCATTCTCGCGGGCGTATGTCGATTCTCTGTCTACGGCTTATCCTAGCACTGGAAATGGAAGCTTGACCGAACACATCCGGCGCATGGGTGCAGGCGCACTCCTCAGCATGCTGCGTCGGAACATCTCCATATTCAAGGATGGAGAGGCCAGCTTCCGCCTTGAGCCCGCGACAAAGGAACAAGATGCCGCTTTGTTGAGCTTCCTAGAAGAGACGCTCTCGCGCCTGGAGCAGCTGCAGGCAGACGCAGAGAGCGCTGGCATGACGCTGCACACCAAATATAGCAGCCAGAGCAAGGTGATGCGGACGACTGTGATTGCCCAGCGAGTCCAGCTGAGTCGCGACTCGGCGGCCCTCCGCGACGAAGACAAACAGTTGACGGATATAGTCGACGCAGTGTCGGAGCGGCTGACGGCACATTTCGGGACAAGACGCCCCGAGAGGGTGCTATTTTCGGAGACGTGGTTGTATGACAGCAGATGGCCTCTACGGGACGTCATGGTGCCACGGCCGCGGGTGACATTCAGGCGCAGCTTGGCGCGGCCGTACGACTACCTCTCTTGCAGCTGTTGCAGGAGCAGCGGCGCCGAGGATGGGGTTGTGCAGGCGACGCTTCCCGCGACTTCGATCCTCTATCACCTGTATCTCGAGGCGGGCAGCCTGATTAACGTGGCAGATTTGTGGTCAGCATTCCACGCGCTAGTGCGCGAGGAGAAGGAGGAAGACGACGATGATGGGGAGAAGGACGACGAGCAGCGCCAGCAGGACGAGCGGAAGGCTCTGGTCATGTTTTATCGCGGCCTGGCGGAGTTGAAGGCCATGGGCTTCGTCAAGAGCAGCAAGAAGAAGACGGACCACATTGCCAAGGTGAGATGGCTATGAGGGGGGAGGAATAGAACCAAGCGTCGACCTAGAGTTTCCAATCTGCCTGCGGAAAAGAATGGGCGGTTGATGTTGGAAGAGTGAGTGAGTGAGTGAAACGCTTTCGTTCTAAAGGAAGCAGAAAGGAATCAGGCAAATCCAAAGAGTGTGAAACCGTTTTGCGTGGGAAGCGAAGGAATCAGGCAATTAAATCAAAAGTACGACACGCAAGACGCACCGATGACATTTTCCAGCAGGGCGGCTAAATTAAAGTAGATTAAAAACGCAACGTTGAAGTGTTGCAATGAGATGCAGAGACGGCAGCTTGGTGGCTCCTTGCTGGTATCAGCTACAACCTATGGCTCCCCAGATGCTTTCTTCTTACTTCCAATATCTACAACCATCGCTACGTTCCTCTAGTAATCGCCATTATGGTTATTGAATTCTAAGTATACGGGATGCTAGATTAGATTAGTATGTAGCCACAACTCTTCATCAATCCAATGTCTGAGCATGAGTTTCCCCCTCGGGCGCTTCCCCCCCAAACGCTACCGTGCGGCTGATGACGATGAAGGAGGAGGAGTGGAAGAAAAAGTACGAACAGGTGACCCAGCTGAGCGAGGCCTTTCTGCCAAGGCTAAACACGCCCCATGAATTTATGTTTGAAATTAATTACAACGCTCCCCATCCTTTTTTGTCCCAGCCAAGAGGTACAGTATCGACGGATGAAACCCTCCCCCCGAAGAAGAAAATGAAGCGGCAGACGCGCGCCGAGCTGTAATGTACCAGTGCGAGTACCGAGATTAGTTTGTCCCAGAAATCTACACAGGATTTTGGGGCTGAATAGCCGCGGAAGCGAGAAAAGAAAAAAGAGGGAACAAGGGTATCGGACGTTTCATTGAGAGTTTTGGAGTTGGGTCTACGAGTACCTACAGTATGCTTGTTTGTTGCTTGTTTGGCCTGATTCAGAAACAAATCGACGTCAACAAAGGGAGAGAGGGGTGGCCAGATTGTACAGCTAAAATGTTTCTTTTTTTCTTCTTCTTTTTTTTTCTCTTTTTTTTTTATCATCATGATTTTATACGAAGCGAAGTTTTGATTGTGTTTTGTTAGTTGAGCTGAATGGCATGGGATGGGATAGGCGGTTTGTAAATTAGAGTCATGGCATGTAGAGCTACGCCCGTGTCTTGATACCCAAACGCCTCCTGCTGCAGACGCTCAGGTAATGATACATTGTTAGTACAAAACACTTACACGGACGTAGCTCATGGACACACGGGAAGTGAATAAACGAGCCAGCGAATAAAACACAGGACAAGGACAAAATTCAAGAGCGGGATAATCACCCGATGCAGTAAACCCTGGCATTAGCCTTTACCAAGGCAGCGGTATGATGGCTTGCGCCGGCTTTCTTTCTTCTTTTCTTAATGCCTTAACCTGTAGCTGATGTTGGAGGAGGAGGGAGAGGAGGCAAAAAGAGGCTGAGAGCTGAAAAGGCAAAACCGGCATGTAAGGGGCGTGTCTGTCCGGCCACACGGGACCCCAAGTGCCGCCCTGGTACGGAGCACATGAGTTGAGGTGGGAATTCTGGGTGGTGTTTGATTTGACAGATTTGACTTGAATCATGGGGAATTTGATTTGATACGGTGAGCCTAAACGGAAATAACGGAGGTTTTTTTATTTTTTTTTTTTTTTTATTTTTTCTAGGCAGGGTTCTGTGAGAGGTGGAGGCAGTAAAAAGTGTCTCGGAGAGAGTGCGGTTTTGAGGTCAACGTTGTGTCACAATGTTTCTGATTTGTGAGGGACAGCTGGTTTTGTTTTCGGGGGGGCTGAATGTCAGGAAAGCCGGAATTTTTTTTTTTTTTGTCTTGTCACAAGGGAGTTTTGAGTTGAGTGAGCTGCTAGTTACGCAAGGTGGTGTTACTCAATTACTACTAAGCATCATTGTGTTGTGTTGTGTTGTTCAAGTAATAGATTGCTACTATACTACTGTTAGATGTTGGACATCACCCATCACTTATTTAATTGGTGACACGGGCATTGTTGGCTGCCTGGCAAAATCCCGATTGTAATTGGAGGGGCACACCAGAAATGAATCACACCGCGAAGCTCGATGCATCCTCACGTTGCTCTTGTTCCTTAGCCTGGGGTTGCAGCATTACGAGTTAGGCGTTTACGCTTGCTTCCCCCCCCATCTACTGTACAGAGTCGTATTGGAAACGTACAAGGTGAAAATGCGCTTGGGGTTCCACCGAGCTGGGGGGGGATTTGAGACATGTAAGATTGAAAGATGGCAATGGGTAACAGTCGCATTGGTTACGGAGAAATCTCACCTGTTGCGGCCCTACGTGTACGTGCATCTGCTAGGTCCATGATTCGTCTAGGCGAGAGCGAGGTGGTGACGCCTTCTCATGCGACTTTCCGGTTCTCGAGGGCCGTCGTTGCGACCATGAACTGCCACGTAGGTTGTTTTGCGTACAGTAGAGCGGTGCCTGTCCGGCTGCAGATGAAACCTCGCACGACAGAGCCAGTCATACGAGTAACGCGGTACGGTGAATAGCCTCAGAGCCTCAAAACACCGCAAGCCCGGCGACTGTCGTGAATCCAACTGACTCAAGTGAACCCGTTTGCTCAAGTGCCACAATGACTCTCTCTCTCTCTCTCAACTTGTGCCCTGCAGCTGCTAGGCCCGGCCGTGATCTATTTATTGTCTCTGCTAGTGCATGTCTCAATAGTGACACACGCAGCTCCTAGCATGCGCGCCGGCAGAGCAGCTATGTCGGAGAGAGCCTATGCCATGGGCCAGGAAACCCAAAGGGCATTTCCCTCTTGAGTCTAAGCGACGATGATCTTTTACGGTGGGCCACCGTTTTCTGGAAGAAATAAAGGCAATTCGAATCCCATGCCGTTTCAGGCTGACGATGGGATTGGCGGAAAGCCCCCATGGGATTCTGTGGTTGGACAAAGCCGTGCCGGGCAGCACATGCGCCGTCGATCATACGCTTGCTGCCCGGCTGTTGTCGAGAACCTCTCCGTCTCTCGCTTTGACGCGGGTAGAGAATGTCCCAATACCTGACAGACATGCACCGGCTCGGCAGATATAAACGGACTGCTGCTGTGCTGTGGTTGACACCATCCGCAGGGAGAGCGCAATGGCGTTATGCAGGCCGGCTTATATGCAAGTATTCGGGTCATGAGTGGCGAGAAGCTCCTTGTGTCTGGCGGCCACATGGCTGGGCGGCCTAGACGCCCATGTGCCACCCGATCCTTTGATAGCAAGGGCGAAATGTGCAGATCGCGCGCGCGCAGGGCACCAACCGCATGCAAACACGCTGGCGATTTCAGGCAGCGTGGACGCCGTGTAATGTAATTCCACGAATGAAGCTGATTTGCCGGAAAGGAAAGAAGGAAAAAGAAAAGAAAACTGAGGGATCCAAGGGCGAGCAGAGGAGCCGAAAATAGCACCAGACGCCGATGGAGACGTCCCGCAGAGCATTCCAACCCAAAGCACTGGCGCTGTCTCGCCTGGACGGATGTATGTAGTATTACTTTTGCTGCTGGCCGGACTCAGCCCGGGTCTCTTCCTTTGCTTGCTTCGGCGAGCTTGGTGCACTCGCCTCCGGTCTTGGGAAGGGCCCTGAGGCTTTTGCCCGGAACCAGCATCGCCGGCTTCTGCTCCCAAGAGTCGTCCCCCTCCCCTCCTTGTGGTACACGCATTCTTACGTCGTGCGTCCCAAGGCTTGAGCCACGAGGACATTGGCGGATCCGGGAACCGAAGCCTCTTGGGCCCAACGTCAACGGAGACATTTTCTGGTCTCGGTCGCCCGTTGGGTTTCGACGGCCAACGTCTTGGATGTTGGCCGACCGAAGTGAGTGACAATGGCCATTCGCTGGCACAAAATGCTACTACAACTGTAGTGCCGCGGACGGAGCAGCGAATCGAGTTGCAGTACAGTAGCATTCGTCCATCGTCACGTTGTTGCTTGTCTGTCCAGGGTTCCTCTCTGGGAGGGTCAGCTCTGGCTAGCAGTGTCTCACTCTGGGCGTTATGGCTGCGTCCGTCGCAAAGCTCATCCCCCCCATGGAGATTGGAGATTGGACCCCCCCAGGCAAGGTAGCGTCCGACCGTCATTGTGGTAAAGGCTGGGCTGGACAATGGCACGCTTGTTGATCAGCCCTCGTTCTCGCCCTCGCGCTTTTGCTCTCTCTCGGTCTGCTGGAGCGCTGTAGCGTGGAAGCGACTCGGGAGTCGCGAAGGATTGATGGATTTGGGGGGAATGCGGGATCAAGGCGCGGGACATGGACGGCGGCAAGCCCTGCGTAATCCAATGTATTCAAGTTGAGGTCAGGTATCGACAGCAGGTGAAGGTGAACTTTGGCGGTTTGCAGGTAGAGTACTCCGTACAGGCGGGTGCTTTTAGCGGTCGCCGACCTGTAACTCAGTGGCCACCGGTACCAGCGCAGCGGGCGGGGCCCCAGAGATCCAGCGCACGCGAGCGGCGGCTCCGTCGCCAACAGCCCTGCAGTGGGAGTCTACGGGCTATTGACAGGCTACGGGCTACTTTGCCAGGTACCGGTACCGAATGGCGACGACCAGCGCCGGCGCCTTGCCCAGAGCAGTAGCATCTGCGTGGTTGGTGGGGAGGAGACCAAGCCAAGTGTCAGTTATCGCGGCGACGAGGCGTTTCCAATGGCATGGACAGTGACTGAATGTCAATGTCAATGTGAGTGTAGATGTGGATGTGACGGGGGGCTGAGCGAAAGGGCCAGCCAAGCCAAGCGCAGGGCTCCGCAGCTTCCAGACTCCTGGCTCTCGCGGTGCAGCTGGTCAAGATGCCACTCCGTACAGCAGCACCTAATACCGGCACCCCCCCCTTTCAACTGACGGATGATGACGATGATGATGCGGTTGAGTGGCATTAATGTACATACATGGAATGAGCTGGGATTGAAGAGCGAGCGACTGACTGATTTGATTGCTGTGGCAGCGACTTGCAGGTGGGCTGTACACGGGCGTGCGTCTATGTACATGTATTGGGAGGTATATAAGACGCCCATCTACCTGATCTATAAATGCTGTTGTGGCCTCGTTTGCCTCGTTTCTTCCTCCTTTGGCTGCACCCAGTATTGCTAGTAGTGTTCCTATTCCTTTCTATTTCTATCCCCAAGTATCATTATCCTACATTACAGCCTCCAGCCCATTGAGCGAATAAAGAAAAAAGAAGCCCAAGTCAGCCATCACATAAATAAGCACCTGACCACCGGTTCCAATCTCAGCTCAGCTCAGCAGCCTCGAAACGCTCCGTTCTCGCCCAACCGTTCAAAAGGGAAGCTAGGACCTTTGACTGCCATTGATCGAATTTGTCCGATTTGATTCGTTGTCTCGCATCCGGTTTGCGCGGGCGGCTACAAGAGTCAACAAGGAGAGAGAACCAACAAGGCGTTTGCAAGTGGGCGCCTCTCTCTTTTCATCTACAAGCAGCCAGGGGGGTTTTCTTCGAACTTGCTTTCGTTTCCCCTTCTTTCTTCTTTCTCTTGTCGTTTGCATACAAAGGAAACCAAAAAAAGGGACGGTTCAGCTGAACAAGCCTCGTTTTCTTTTTACCGCCTTGTTTTAGCCTTTGAACGAACTCGTACTTTGTGCACGTTAGACGGCCACTCCGCTTTCACACGCACGCTTTTAGCCTTTCTTTTCCGAGAACGGTCAGCCTCGAGGGGAAGAAAGCAAAGACACGACGACAAACGATCTCAGAAGATCGAATTAAGACATCTAAACTAGTGGCTGAAAGGCTCAGCCCGCATTTAAAAGACCGACTTTTCCTGCCGTGCAGAATCTGGGCCAAAACGTGTATTTGAGTGTTGCTTCGTCGAGTCGGGTGTCTTGGAACAGCAAAACCACCACCGACGTCTAAATCACATCACATCACATACCATACCAAGACATCGGCGCCCAAGGAGGAACACGCATAGAGAGGAGGAAATCCAATCGGAGCCTATTATATTTCTCACGACAATCTCCAACCAAACCGACATCATGATGCATCACCGTCGCCTGCCGTCTCACCACCGCAACCACCAGAGCTCCCTGCGCCGCCGCCTCGCCAAAAACCCCGAACTCGCCCACAAACTACACCAGATGGCACTCCCCCTGTCTCCTCTTGTCCAGCTCACCACCGGCGCCGTACACCCGCACTTCCCGCGCACCGTGCTGCAGTTCTGGCTCCTCACCGACGCTCAGCTCGAGTCCCTCGCTCAGTTCTACCACCAGCGCACCCCTTCTCCCTGGTCTCGACAGTACCCCTGCCCGATCAACTGGCGGTCCGAGGCGCCGCTCGAGGAGAAGCGCCGCAAGATGGGCAGGTTCATCGGCCTGAGAGGCTGCGAGAGCCCGACTGCGGTCCTCAAGACGGAGGAGCAGATTGCGAGAGACGCCAGCAGGAGCGCGGCCGATGAGGATGTTTTGAGACGAAAGATGAATCCATTTTCTCAGCAGTGAAAGGGAGGGCATTCCCCTTTTACTATTCTTCTCTTTGTCTGTCCAAAACACGTTTTTTTTTCAATATCCATCGTCATCATCGGTCTAGCATCGGCACCATCTTTGGGGGAGAGATGGCCGAGAGTTCTGGAGTTTCTTTAATTCGCCTTCTTTGAAAGGTTATACGGCGTTTGTTTTGCTTTTTTGGTCTTTATCATCGGGGTTGGGTGTTTTTCCTTGGGGCGGCTGCTACTTGCATCTTAGATTGGCGACTTGAGACCGTCACCGGCAAGCCTCCATACCGTGTTTTCGTACATATCATGTATATATATACTATACTGGGGAGGTACAATAACAACAGCATACATGGAGCATCGGAGGGAGAGGTGGACTTACAACGGGAGGGGGCTGGTTAGAAGATTTACAGCAATGACTTGATATGATATACAACTGTTATTACAAATACACAGTGGCTACGCAGCCTCTATCAGAAATATTTCCAAGTCGCGCAGAGACAAGAGACGCGGGATAGCTAACTTGGGGTTCTTTGATAGCCGCTTCCTAAATAAAGTACAGTACAAATCCAAACAGTTCCCTCGTCTTCTCTCGTATGTGATGCCCATTCAAACGCCATGAATTTTCTACCCACCATGGTCACTGCAATCGTGGGTGCGAGTGCAAGCTCTGTTGCGGTGCACCAACGCCCATTGATCATCTCGCCCTTTCCTCCACCATAGAATGTCTATATATACACAGGCGCCGTGGTTCGCGCCATGAATGCCCTCTCCTCTCTTTCTCTTTGAGATCTCTCTTTGTGCCCGCCGTCGTCTTGATTAGTCCCTCCCACTCATTTCTCGGGGGAATCAAACAACTACAGCGTCGTCCTCATGAGCGTCCTTTGTTGATCCCTTCTCGGATTTCTCAAGCTCCTTCATGAAATCTGCGCGGATCTGTCCTCGTTTCTTATCCCACCAAGCCTTCTCGGCATCGGTCTGGGCCTGTATCTCCTCTAGCCGCTGGCGGAGCTTGGTGTTGGCGGCGATTTCGTGTGCGGACTGGAAGATGATGGAGCCCCAGTTTGGCGCCAGGGCGTTGGCCTAGAATACCCGTGTTAGTCGTCGTCGCTTTGAGGCCCTACATGAGGCGGAAGGCCGGCATGTTTAGCGTAAGGACATACCTCGGTAACGACGTCTCTCAGTTCCTCCTCCATTTCCTTCTCTGCGCGCAGGAAGCGCTGCCACAGGTCATCGCCAACGCTTCCCCTCTGCAGAAGCGCTCCGCATGCCTGCTTGGCCGTCTTGATGTGGATCAGGCGCTCGATATCCTCCACCGCGCGACGCAGGAGGGCCGCTCGCAGGACGCCGTCGGGGACCTTGGGGGCCTTTTCGGCGCCTTCTTCGGGATCGAGATGCAGGAGAGAGAGGTAGATGTCTCGCTGGAGGTGAGGGCCGAACCAGGGCGCGAGGTTTGCGCTTTCAGCTGCAATCATGGAATGCGTTAGCGTTTGCGGCGAGAACGTCATGGGGGGAGTCCACTCGGATTCGTTTCGTACCAGCCTTCCGTCTGCGATAGATTGTGGAAAACGTCATGAGCGCGCCGCCGAGGACGATGAGGTAGGCGAATGGAAGGGCAAGGCCCTTCCAGTCAATGTCGAACATTTTGTCTGGTTTTTGGGGTTTCTGTTTTTCTTCTGCTTCTTGAGCGAGTGACCGGGAAAGTTTGTATTGACAATAGCCGTGGCCTCTCTCTCAATAAAGAAGCGTGCCGAAAATGAGTTTCCAGACAGGCGCACAAATGAGCGGACGAAGCAGCGTGGAATGGCGCAACGCTGGTTTGTTTTTCTCGAGGGCTGAAGTTCCCTGGATTATAAAGAACAGAGTGCAGTTCGGCCCTTGTCGCTGCTTATCGACACGTCGCACACATGCCACCCTTCTGGCCAGATTGGCGGCAGCAAAAAGCCTTGGTCGCGGGGTACGTACCGACCAACTGCCGCTTCTAGCAGGCGGAGAGCATGCGCGCAGTACAAGGTACCAGGAATGCCTTAGTAATGCTGGCGGGCCGATAGATGTTCCACCGCCAGCTACGCAGTTACTAAGCACTGCGGCGCCCGCTTCAGGCACACTGTGAATGACGCTTTTGCCGTACTCGTGCTATTCCCGAGCTGGAGCTCATGATTCAATAAGCTTCAACCGCCTCGGTTTCGCCTTTCCTCCCCTCCCGCAAGCTGCGAAAGCTGGACATGCTGCAGCCTGGCCTCGTTGCGGATTTATAACGCCCGTGTTTAAATTGTCTTCCTTCTTCTTCTCTTTTTCTCTTTTTATAGCCACCCACATTTTGGGTCCCGCTGCTTGATATATCGAATCTCCAACTTCACGCAGACCCGAATCCCCCCACCAGCAGCATCTCCCGCCCAATCTCTCGTGCTGCAACCACCATTCGCCCACCATGTTGATCAGACTGCGCGGGCCAGATGGCATGATTCGCCTGACGGTAGAACCAACGACTACCTTTGGTGATCTGGGACAGCAGGTCAGTACAAGCCTGAAAGCTGTCGATGTTGCTCTGGATGAAGACGATGATCTAACTGAACTATGATTTAGCTACTTACCCACCTACCTTCGACCGTTGATCCCAAGACCATCGTTCTGTCAAACTCACCCACGGGCCGCGATGCGAAGAGACTAGGTGATATTATCCAGTTTCAGATCGGGCAAATCGGCCTCAAGTACGCCGCTTAACATGACGTCCTCATACAGGACGTGGGGCCCGGAAGCACTGCTGACTTGCTGATGCATAGGCACGGCGATTTGATCTTTCTATCTTACCAACACGACGCTGCGAGCGGGACTACTAACGGCGAGGTCCCTGCACCGGTGACCTCTGCTAGGTTGAACGGCAAGCCCGTGCTGCCCACCGAAGACTTCCCGATCGACCCCAAACCCGAGAGAATCGCGAAGCCATGGGAAACAGTCAAGCAGTCGGCGGTGGATGACCGGCTAGACAAGCTAGATGGCAAGATCCCACGAGGACGAGACAGGATGTGCCGACACGGCCCCAAGGGCATGTGCGACAACTGCCAACCTATGGACCCCTTCGACCCGGGCTACCTGGTAGACAAGGGAATCAAGTACCCTTCATTCCATTCCCACCTGCGCAAGATAAACGCCGCGACGAACAAACCAGAATCTGGGACGTCTTACATCCCTCCTCTGGTCGAGCCCTATTTCCGAGTCAAGCGAGATTGTCCATCTGGTCATCCGGCCTGGCCAGAAGGCATTTGCACAAAGTGCCAACCGAGCGCGATTACGCTCAACCCTCAGACTTTCCGAATGGTGGACCATGTCGAGTTTTCCAGCCCTTCCATTATCGATGGGTTCATTGACGCTTGGCGTAAGACTGGTTCTCAGCGGCTGGGCTACCTTTACGGCCGATATACCGAGTATGCGGTAGTCCCGCTGGGAGTGAAGGCAGTTGTGGAGGCCATATATGAGCCACCCCAGGTCGATGAGGCTGACGGCATCAGCATGAACGCATGGGCCAACCAAAAAGACATTGACCATATTGCCAAGCTCTGCGGGCTGGAGCCTGTAGGTGTCATCTGGACAGACTTACTCGACTCAGGGCGTGGCGACGGATCCGTCGTCTGCAAGCGTCACCTCGAATCATATTACTTATCGTCTCTCGAGATATGCTTTTCGTCCAGATTACAAGCCCAGTATCCTAACCCTTCCAAGTGGAGTGACTCGGGCCAGTTCGGCTCCAAATTTGTCACATGCGTAATCACAGGCGATGAAGATGGGAACATTGCCATCTCGTCATACCAAATGTCTAACGAGGCAGTCGAGATGGTGAGAGCTGACATTGTCGAACCGTCAGCAGATCCCAACTCCATGCTTGTCCGCGAAGAGGAGGAAGATGACGGCTCCGTTAGTCGGACGAGGTACATACCTGAAGTTTTCTACCGCAAGGTGAACGAGTACGGAGCCAAGGTGCAGGAGAACGCAAAGCCGGCGTTTCCTGTCGAATATCTCTTTGTGACTCTGACGCACGGCTTCCCTGACGACCCTAAGCCTACATTCACTCAGACAGGATTTCCTATCGAGAACCGCGAGTACATTGGCGAAAGTCAAGAGCACTCTGCTTTGGCACGAGCTCTAAATCTGCGAAACGGTCAAAAGCCCAGTGATAACGGCCAAGAAGTATCAAACTTTCACATTCTGTGCTTCATTCACCAACTTGGAGTTCTTTCAAAGGTTTGCTTCCTAGCTACCCTTTTTTCGTTTCTTGTCGCAAGTCGCAAATTTGAATTTGGCTAACAATAAACTCTTCCTCCCTGCCCCAGGATGAGGAGGCCCTTCTCTGTCGCGTTGCAACTCAGCATGACCTCGCCGACTCATTCCAGCTCCGCTCTACAGGAGGCTGGCAGACACTACAAGTCATCCTGAACTCGACTGGTGAGCGAATCCCCAAGCGTCTAAGAGAGTATGATGGGGTTCCGTCAACGACCTCATCATCGGTCTCGTCACCTCCATTGTCTTCGTCGTCTTCTTTTCATTCCAAGGCCCCATCTGCTGTTGGTGAGCCGGGTGAGCCACTTGCTAAACGGTTTGCTGCCTTCAGGCTGAACGAACGTCGTGCCGCATCCCCGAGCAATTCTTCGCCAGCACCGCCGCCGCCGCCTTGAACTCTTTTTTTTTTCTCGTTGTAGATTGAAAAGAGCATATTCAACGTTTGTTGCTGTATTTTAGGGGGGAGGTTTCTGAGGGACAGGGGGTTATACTTGACAGTATTGGATGGAATGGATTTCAACAAGAGTCCAAGGCTATCGAGAGTTGAACTAGAATGGTTCGTTAATGGCATTTGGTGGGCGGTAATATTGCTTAGGGACACAGCGCGGGTATAGACCAGGAACAAAAGAAAGCTAATGCGTATTTCGGATGACAAGTATAAGGGGCCAAATGTGTCAACAACGTGAGCGTGCTGTGCTGTATTCCTTGACTTAGGACTGGCCACAGAGGTGGGTATATGTCAATACGCTGCCATCTAACAGATATTCTTCCAACAAGGCCACAACAACCCCAAGCATAACAATGGAAGACTAGCTCAGAAAAAAGGGCAAAGGAACAGCCGTTTCGAAGAAGCCAATAATGAGCAATCTCACGAAAATGAGAATGAGGAAAAACGACGGCTTCAACAACGAATCATTACCTGTTTATTGCGCTTGTCACGAAACATCCATGAACACTCAAAAGGAGCGAATTCTGACGTTGTTGTTACTAATGTGGAAGCTTTGCTGAACTGAGGAACAACGGGTTTGGAGTCTGGTCTAGAAAACGAAACGCCCAGTTCTCCATAGATACTTGAGTGTCCCTAGCATCAATAAGATTTCTATGTAGAGAAATAAACTAGATGGCGTGATATAATGTGAGGCTATAAAAGACCTTTCAACGACGCCTGAGTATGCGCAAACGGTTTACAGATGGTCAGCTATTACGGTTGTCTCCGCACCCATGTATGACGCATATTCCCAGAGAGACTGATTACGGCCACGTCCTCAGCATGTAAGTAGTCTTCATTGTAATTGTCAAATGGTGGCTCTACAATCTCGATGCCGCGGGGAGGCTGAATTTGGACCATGAGGGTTCCTTATGGCGTACGACCTTGCGGCCGTATGATGCTGTTATATCGAAGCAAATATCGAAAGATGAGGAACCTAGACTTCGTGACTATTGGAACGAATATCAAATACAGCAATTCTTTGGATGGGGGTATCGCCGCTATCAAGTTTCCCTCCCCTAGAGGTTTATCATTAGTAGCTACTCAGCTGGCAGTCTGACAGACAAAACATGCGATCAAGCTGCCAGCTGCCAAACTTGCTCGCCAGCTGCCTAGAGAACTATATAATCCGCCGAACTTTCTTCTGCATCTTCTTCCCACTTTCTTCCTCTTTCCTTCTCATACACTTTGCTTCTGAAGCAAGCAAGCCTCTCCTCTTCTCAACGTTACCAACAAGGCCAAGAAAAGGCACTATCCTAAGCAAACAAACATGGATATCGACAGTCCTAGCACTCCGCCTGTGACAACAACTTCACAAGAGACTCAAAAGGCAGTACGAGAGAAACGCCAAGAAATTCAGCAGGCCCGCGAAGAACTGAGAGAATTGGTCAAAGACATTCCAAACGGGTTCGCGGGACTGGCTGGTGATATCACCCGTTTAAAAGAGGAACTTGACTTGGACATCGAAAGAATTCATGATGACCACAAATCAATCGAAGAACGTTACAAACGCGTTTTAGAAGTATTCAATGAAGAATGGAATTATGCCAAAGAGTTAATCGAAGAACGATTCTTTACTCCCAAGGAAGAAAGAGAAATGCTCTGCTCCCGTGTAGAGTTACTTGTAGATGCACTCCAAACTCTTCAACAGGCCTCTGAGACGGAGATCCATCATCCTGAAGTGTCATTCAAGAAGGATCTCGATAGTCTCCGAAAGAGACTCGAACAACGAATTGGGCTGGGCTACGAGCTTAAGGCGACACTTGATAAGACGGTGGAGAAGTTGGAAAATGTTTGCAAGCGTGTGGATGAGTTTGAGAAGCTTATGGAGCAGTGATTGGGCTGGTTGGAGGGGTAGGGATGAGAAGAAGGTAGATGAGCCGTGGTCTCTCAATGGTTTGGTTAGGCTATGATTCGCCATTTTCAAAAAAAATCAGAGGTTGGATAGCCAGCCCTCAAGAAAAGATTGTTGCGACGCAACTCCTCAAATACACTCGAGTACCTTGTGATTGTCTTTGGAAATGTAAATCTTTCCTTTTTATCGGTGTTTACTGCATTCACGGCGACATTCAGCGACAATTTATAAATTGACAGGCTTCACCTCAAACCCGAGAGTTCCTTATCCTTAACATGATGGCTAAAGTAGATGACGATTTAGCAGAGGACGTGTCTAATCCGAAACTGGGCCTCAATCGGGCGAGAAGATATGCTGGAAAGACTGTGACTTCTGATGGTCATCAGTGGCACCACAAGATAGAGACTCGACAAGGTAGATGGCGGCGTTCGGAGAGAAATGTCTATATCTAGGTAGCAGTGATGTATCTCTATACGTAGCAATAACGGTGTGTCTCTCTAGTAGAGATGTATGTGTATCTACTTGCATGTATTGAGAAAGAGAATGCTAGCCAGCACCCCGGCGACTGGGCGAGGTTCGAGCGTCAAAAGAGGATTGGATCTTACCTACTAGGTACTCACTGATATTAGGTATTGATCCAATAATAGTATATAGCCAACTCTTTGAGTCTACCATTATCACTACACTTTACATATCCTCTCCTAATGTGCTGGCCGCTGTAAATAAAACTTACACATAACTCTCTTTCGGGTTGAATAACATGTTCGTCTACATTTATAACCGAAGCATATTGTCAGCCTGTCTGTTTCAAATGGCAGAGCATTTCGCATTGAGTTAAAGTCCATATAACACTGGGCAACAGACCCCAATTAATAATATTATAAATAATAGCCTTTTCCAAGGTGCTTAGATGAAACCTTTAGATCATGTTTCATCTTCTTGGCCAACATACGACAAAGTTGAACTCTGACATGGAAGAACTCCTTGATATCCCTATCATCAAGGTTTCTTGCGAAGAGGTTAGTGGGAACCGTCTAGTCTCTAGACTCTTCAAACCGCTGCAGTTATGCTATTGCGAGCATATTTATATTGCTCCAGCCTTGGCTTTGCGAAGCTTAGATCTGAATCGTGCTGCGTGAGAGCGTCTGACGTTGGATCGGGGAGACTCATCCTCGGCCAACTCGTCCGTGTCAACAACAAAAGCGGTTCTGTTGGATGGACCTCCAATGGTAAGTCCTGCCGATAATCCCAGGCCGGAGCTGGGCACAGAGGCGGAACCAAGGCCGGTACTAATGGATGAGTTCAGGTTGACGATGCCAGAACCAGTAGACCCAGATGGTGAGCCTGCCCCAACGGAAACGGGACCTGGGGAAGGCAGCCTCGGGACACCCGATCCGCCAGAACCTCTAGACCCTGCAGAAATTGCCGAGCCCAAGCCGGAAATACCTGAACCTAAACCCGCGACAGTAGATCCTACACCAGTTCCCGCGCCAGAGACTGTTGCTCCTATGGCAGAGATGATGGATCCCAAATCTAGGCCTCCAGATCCCAGACCAACACCAGTTGATCCCAAGCTGGGAGTAACGGCTCCCAGGCCATTGGCAGCCGACCCCAAACCTACCGCCGCTGACCCCAAACCAGTTGCAATAGATCCAAGGCCGGACGCTGCTGAACTCAAATTAGATGCTGCTGAGCCCAGACCGGAAGCAGCAGATACCAAGTTAGATCCCACGCCAGATAGGGCTGAGCCCAAGCCTGCACCAGTCGCGTTACCAGCAAGTGAACCGAGAGCTCCCGTCAGATTTCCAGGAAGTGGGCCAAGACCTCCGGTCAGATTCAAGCCAGTAAGAGGACCAAGACCTCCGGTCAGGTTAGCAAGAGGGCCAAGAGCTCCCAGAGCTCCCGTCAGATTCAGGTTTGGGAGTCCGGATCCCAAGCCGGGGATCGCTCTGGTAAGGTTATTCGCCAAACCAGTCAAATTGCCCAAGTTGCCCAGGCCTGTCAAGTTACCCGCACCAAGCCCGTTTCCAAGTCCCAATATGGATCCTAGGACATTTGGAGCAAGATTGCCTGGAGCACCTATTCCTCCAAGTCCTCCAAGTCCTCCAAGTCCTCCAATCCCTCCAAGCCTTCCAAGTCCTCCAAGCCCCCCAAGACCCCCAAGACCCCCAAGACCACCTAAGAGCCCTCCAACATCACCTCCAAGGCCCAGCAACACCAAGAGATTTCTAAGGCCGCGGAGCAAGCCTCCAAGGCCTCCGAGGCCTCCTGCATTGCCAAGGGCTCCAGTGAGAGCACCGGGCAATCCACCAAGAGTCCCGTTTAATCCACCAAGATTGAGCGAAGCGCCAGGAACGCTGCCAATTGGGTTGATTCCACCAAGAGTTCCATTCAAGACAGACCCAAGGTTAGGGATACTAATATTCCCTACAGGGACAATAGTTGTATTAACGGGTAGGATCGGAGTATTGCCCGCCTTTTCAGCATTCAAAAGCCGTTGTAGCGCACGGGCAAGCTGCACAGGATCAAGATTGTGCGAGGCTGCAAATTCTCTAACGACTTTTGTGACAGTGTCTTGGCTGGTGGCATTCTTGACAAAGTCAAGCAATTGCTTGAGCTCTGCGACCGTCAGTCTGGGAGCGTTCCCAGATACTGGGGGGTTGACAGATATTGGGGGATTGGTGGTTCCATTGATTATGCCAAGATTGCCAGTGAGGGCACCGACGAGACCGCCATCCAACAAACCGGGCAGACCAATTCCAGAAAGTCCACCCCTACCGCTGGTCAAACCATCAAGGGCGTTCACAAGACCGCCTAGGAGGCCCCCAGATCCCTCGAGGAGATTACCCAGGCTGCTGTCTGAGCTGCCGAGTGCCAAAACATTCTTCAAAGCCTGGAAAAGCCTGCTGGGATCAAGGCCATGTGCGACGGCGTACCGATTAAGATCGTTGGTAGCTTTCTGAGTGTCGCCCTTGGCATTTTTGACAATATCAATCAGGTCCTTAATCGTCGCATCATCCAGCCCTCCGACCACATTTCTGAAGATTTGGGTGGTAATCCCGTTGGCAATTCCCTGCAAAGTCGAAGCTGGGATACCCCCTATTGAACCGGTGCCGACTGCTGGAAGAGAGACATTTCCTGCTGGGACACTTGGCATAGCACTAGCGAGGCCGTTGACAACACTGGTAAGGCCGTTGACAACACCACTTAGGTCGATACCAGCTTTCTTAGCAGCTCCATTCAGTCCTTGGAGAAAAGAGCCTAGATTGATGTTTTGCTGGCCATTGAGTCCAAGGCCTTTCAGGAGATCGGCTGGTGAGATGTTGCCACTAGAATCAGCACCGAGACTCTTGAGGAGAGTGCTGACAGCGTTGCTATTGAGGCCAAGTCCCTTCAGGAGGCCATTCAGGTTAAGACCTTGGCTGCCCGAACCTCCGGTGTTGTTCAACACGCCGCTCAGATTCAAGTTTCCAACGTTGCTTCCGAGACCCAGCCTCGGCAGCAGGGTACTCAATGGAACAACTCCGTTGGAATCTGCACCAAGCTGCTGGAAGAGGCTAGGGAGATCTGGGGTGGTAACACCGAGGGTCTTGGCAATGTTGGTAAGATTGATGTTGCCCTTGCCATCGATTCCAAGACCCTGCAATAGCTTGCCCAAATTAGGGATTGCAGCGCTTGCGGTACCTGTGTTTCCAACAGTACCGTTCAGACCAATATTGAGCCCAATACCAGTGCCTTTGGCACCTCCGAGTACACCACCGAAGAGACCAAGAATTGTATCGACGATACTGCCAATACCGGTACCCAAAGCGCTGCCAAGATTCCCCCCTATATCACCAAATGTGCCTGATTCCTCTCGTTTTCTTAGAGAAGCTGTCACCAAGAGGTTGTTCAGAAGTTCGCGATCCGATTGAGTAAGTTGACCCGTGGATAGATGGGACTCTAATATTCTCAGAGCCTCTGAGTCCGGCTGCCGAAGTTGTAATGAAGATGCTCCAGTGGGTGCAGCCACTGAGCTTCCTGCAAAAGCAGTCAGAAGAATAAGGGCTGTGTTCAGCTTCATTCTGAACTTTGGAATAACGAAAGACTATTAGAACCAAGCGATCAATAAGCGACAGAAAAGAGAACGAACGCGCCTGTCACCGTTTCAAAACAGGGACAGAGATGGTCGGTTCCGTCGGTCGTCCATCAGAGACCGATGGTAGCATTCTTATAGTATTCAACAATTCTCTCGCTATAATAAATGTATCGCTATAATAAATGTGCTTACTCTGTCTCGGGTAGGGTCCCGCCAATCTGGATATCCATGCCTGCTGGCGCATCTCGCGATGAACACTACTTACAGCGATCTGCAAGTGAACCCTTCGACGGAACGTAGTCTGGACGAATATGAGCCGGAAACTAATCAGGGGCAACTGAAAGTGTCCAATAGCCACCGAAGACCTAATCCAAGAGTTTGGCGCCGGGAATTTTGAAGTTTCAGACGCGAAAATCTGACATGTCAATCATTCGTCTAGACTAATCCAACAACATTCGCTTGTATAAAGGTAAAATGAACTCCATTCCGCGAAATCTGGATTGAATAGTCTCAAACATATGTGTTTCTCGCAGCTCCCGAAGAAAGGGGTCAAGGAGTTACCCGACACGGGGAGGTTGTAGCACGTTCTCTCCCTTCCGTCAAGACCAGATATGGGTAAGGGGAAAGCCTCATGATCGGCATATGTTGTAGAATGTAGATACAGACTATTTATTTTATATTAGCAATTGGGAGTAGCGAGAATGAGAAGTATGAAATAATAGAGATTTGCATGCTCAAGAAGACGTAGGCACGAGCACACCATATTCGACCTTCTGAGAAGCAACAAATGCCTTCGGGTCACAGCTGCCATCATTTTTCTTTTTCATTTCTCTCCCCGTTTAGTAAACATTGTTTAACAGGGGGTTGGTTTTGGATGTCTGAATGAAACAGTGCTGCCGCATTCCTGACGAGGCTGTCTGGATCCATCGTGTTGGGTTTTGAAGATGTAGAGCCGGTAAAGGGATCCGGATCAGCAGTGGAATGTACAGCCGCATTCCTCGCAGAAGTAATTGTCCGTAGCCATCACGAAGCATTAATGCTATGTTTACCATACATTTGCGAAAATGATTTGCTTGGGATTGAAGTTGGGGAGTGCTGTCGTGTGCACGTGACGCGGATATTCACTTGAGGAGGGAAAGAACGAGCTGTGCATTATAAGCTTGGGACCCTACAAGATTGAAAAGGTGCATGCACTACCTTAGTAGTACCAAGGTGCTAACCAAGGTACCCGGCATATCAATGTTTTAAGGTACATGTACCTGGAGCGTCGCAGAAGCCCCCAAGGCAATGGAGGTAGCAGCCATACAAACCTGTAGATGGTTTTGGGTCACAGTTCTGTGATCAGGTCTCTATAACAACGAGTATCGCAAGAAGTCAAAGGTAAAGGCAAAGGCAATACAGAAAACAAATCACAAGCCATTTAACCGCCGGCGGTGTATTCGAAAACTTCGACTGCCATTATTCCTTCTCCTTTCTTCTCCATTCCTTCCTCTACATCACTTGACACACTCGCCATCATCACTCGCGTGCAAAGTTCAATACTCTCACAAATATCTTCCACTCTTCACACTACTCCATACACGCACATCACACAACCGAAAGCCCATCCAAAGCAAATAATACCTACGATTAAACAAACCCAAACTGCGTTTCCCTCCAAGAACAAAGTTCACTCTTCCGACCGTGCCCCAAAGGAGCTAACAACTCCCTAGACCTTGACGAGAACCGCAGCCATGTCAGATTAGCGAGCTGACGGTGACGCGGGAAAGGATTCACAGCATGGAGTTGATGCTGAAGACCGGGATTCTCAAACTGAAGAAATTTATGAGAAGATTGTCAAGGGCCTGGACCGAGTGGAGGCCAAACTTGAGCGACTGGGTGACCATCACCATCAGATCCTACTTGAACGAACAGAGGCCATCTTGGAAGCACTCACCCAGCTTACTGAAGGCATTGAGAGGCAGAAAGAGAGTCTCAGAATTTTCAGACAAGAATGTGGGCAATGGGAGAAAAGAGAGAGAAGGCGACACTTGCTCTCGCTACTGGGTAGCCTGGCTGCATTTGTAGCGTCCGGCTCGGTGTTGTATTGCAGATACTACTCTCAACACCCAGACTCTTGTTAGGAGAGCAGCTTGAGTGGCTCCAGGGCCCCTTCATTCCTAATGTATATGGATACGTTATGGTAACAGCGGGCCAGCCTGTGTTGAGCTACCCACGATATCTCGTCAAAAGCGCGATGAGGACATCTAAACACCATGTTCCACAAAGCGAGGGAGTTACGGTGACTGTTCGCTCCATACCAACGAATCTCTGGTATCGGAGTTCATAGCCCGAGAAATGTCTCGGTTTTCACAAGAATGGAATAAAAATAGCAACCAACGCCTTTTATGAGAGTATTCGTTAGGGGAGGGAGGTGAAGTCGTGGTCGATGCATGTTCTCTTTAGGTTTGTACTCGTATTTATTTATTTGGAGTGGGTGTCATTGGTTGATTTCTAGATCCCAACATCAATATTTCCAAGACTACTCTGTCATGAAAAGGATTTATTCTACAAGCTAATAATGCCGTCACCTTTTTTATGTACTGCAAAGTTGGGATGCTCCCTTTTACAGTATGTTATAGGGTAAAGCTGCTTTCCACCGCTGGAAATTGGCTTGTACCACAGGCGAAGATATATGTTTGAACGTACCTAGAATTGTCGAAATATACCAGCATAATTCCGATGAAACCTCGAGGCTCAACTTGGCGAGTTGATGCTGTGACAGAGTCATGTTGAGCTTCTCGAGATGCGACTCACCCAGTTTTGCGATACCGGAGCTAGATGGAAACGCTCCAACGTGCAATAGAAGGGCGGCAGCTACGATAAAAACGACGGATCTTGGGCGATGGCCCGTGCAGCCGCCGATTCAGCCAAGGGCGAGAGGCTTCCACTCAACCAATGGCTGCAAGGTAAGCCCAATCGAAACCTGTGGATGCTTATTGGCCGGTTCTGATAGGGTTCCAGTTGTCAATGTCAGGCAGATCTAATTTTCCAGCGGTTTAGCGGGTTGCATGCATCCAAATGCTAGGGTTGGATTTCAAGGCTCAGCCCAAGCTGTGACTGACGCTTGCACAATACAAAACCAACAAACAAGAGGGAGAAAGAATATAAATATAACAGCCACAACAACCTCGTGCTGTCATCTACTTTTGAAACCATCAGACCATTGTTTCCACAATTGCTTGTAGTAACACCATCTCCTTTCTGTCAATAACGCCTTGTAATGAGCCCTTATGAATGTCGTGTGCAGCCCCCCACAACGTCATGGTTTTTTTCTCCTTTGGTGTGGAAATTTTTCTCAGATGGGACCGCGTCAAAATTAATCTCGGGTTGGATCTGGCTCCACCCATTTCTGCCACTTGTTTGGTTTATATCTCTCACCAAAAGACTGAGACAGAGAGAGAGAGAGAGAGAAAGCTGGGGGGCTCAACCGCTATCTAATCGGTGACTCTTCTCTTCTCGTTTTCCAAACTGCATTGTCGAATAGGGCACACGAGCCACAACGATATCGGCGCCCCAGAGCTCGCCCAAACAGGACAAGCCGCACTTGTTAAAGTACTAGAGCACATCCCGTGTGTCTTGTTTTTCTGCTCTTTTTTCTCTTTTTCTCTTCTTTTTCCCACCATCTGTCAGAAACCAACAGTCCAATTGCACCTCGTGCAAATCCCGCATCAGCTCAATCCAACCTGCTATCCAGAGTGCCTTGTGCCTCGCCTCTACATCTTCGACTTTCCGTTTCTCAATCCGCCCTTATGAACGGGCACCCGTCGGAATTCACTTCTCAGGTATGCAGCTCTTCTCTTCTGCCCCCACGTGCCGTCTGCATGCAATCATCCCCGCATCTGCAGCTTCGGAACAGCCCTCGTTTGCTCAAACTATTAAATCCAAATCAATTGTTCAAAATGCTAATATTGTATTCTATAGGACTATCTTTCTGGTTGGTCCTACTGCGATTCCCTCCTCACAATGCCAACTAACAAGAGACTTTTAGACCACCTGTGGAGGGCTTTGTCAGCTTGAAATACCTGTCCCGATTCAGCCTCAACCCCACCACCGTAACTTTTTTTTTTTTGTTTGCGAAGCCTTTTCCCTTGAATCGACTCACGAGTCAATTGGGAATCAGGAAAAAGGCATTGACAAACTGCAATGCCGGCGACAATGTTCTCTTTGGCCCTGTCCGCCGCCCGAGCCCCGACCCCGGCCTTGCTCCGGAGCACCGCCCGGCTTCCCCGAGCTCTGCCGACTCGTCTCTTTACCACGGCCGCTTTGAAGTCCCAGGCCAGGAACTCGGTTGCCCCAAAAGTCACCAAACGATTGGGCACGATTTCGGTCTTCCGGCCGTATTCTTCGGCTACTCAGACAGCCCCCAATCCTAAGGCGTACCTCGATAGCGGGGTTATCAAGCCCAAGCTGAACGTCGATGTCAAGAAGGTCCTCGTCATTGGTAGTGGTGGTCTTGCCATTGGACAGGCTGGTGAATTTGATTATTCAGGTATGCAATCTCGGAGCGTTTCTTGTTTCCCATGTCTTGTTACACCTATCTACGTCGTGGTCATGCTGGGGAAAACAACCGTTACAGAGCCCCGAGACAAGTTATACGCCGACTAACACAACACGCTACAGGATCACAAGCTTTGAAGGCCCTCAAGGAGGCTGGTGTCGCTTCCGTTCTCATTAACCCCAACATTGCCACCATTCAAACCAACCACTCCCTTGCCGATGAAGTCTACTATCTGCCCGTTACCCCGGAATATGTCAGCTATGTTATCGAGAAGGAGAAGCCCGACGGTATTTTCCTGTCCTTTGGTGGTCAGACTGCCCTCAACTTGGGCGTCCAGATGCAGCGACAGGGTCTCTTTGAGAAGTATGGCGTCAAGGTTCTCGGCACCAGTGTGAGGACCCTCGAGGTCAGTGAGGACCGAGACCTCTTCGCCAAGGCCCTTGAAGAAATCAACATTCCTATTGCCAAGTCAATTGCTGTCAGCACCGTGGATGAGGCTCTCAGTGCCGCTGATAAGATTGGATATCCCATCATTGTCCGCGCTGCTTATGCCCTTGGTGGTCTGGGTTCCGGTTTCGCCAACAACGAGGAGGAGCTTCGCAACATGGCTGCTCGATCACTCACTCTTTCGCCCCAGATTCTGGTTGAAAAATCACTCAAGGGATGGAAGGAAGTCGAGTATGAGGTTGTTCGAGACGCCAACAACAACTGTATCACCGTTTGCAACATGGAGAACTTCGACCCCCTGGGCATTCACACTGGTGACTCCATTGTCGTGGCTCCTAGTCAAACGCTGAGTGACGAGGAGTACCACATGCTCCGTACCGCCGCCATCAAGATCGTCCGTCATCTGGGTGTCGTCGGAGAGTGTAACGTTCAATACGCCCTGCAGCCCGACGGCCTCGACTACCGTGTCATTGAGGTCAATGCCCGTCTTTCGCGATCTTCCGCACTTGCTTCCAAGGCTACCGGATACCCCCTTGCTTACACTGCTGCCAAGATCGGTTTGGGACACAGTCTCCCTGAGCTCCCCAACGCTGTTACCAAAACCACCACTGCCAACTTTGAGCCCTCTCTGGATTACATCGTCACCAAGATCCCTCGGTGGGATCTTTCCAAGTTCCAGCACGTCAAGCGCGACATTGGAAGTGCTATGAAGTCTGTCGGCGAAGTCATGGCTATCGGCCGAACCTTTGAAGAGTCCTTCCAGAAGGCTATCCGACAGGTTGATCCCAAATTTGTTGGTTTCCAGGGTGACAAGTTCGAAGACCTCGACTTTGAGCTTCAAAACCCTACCGATCGCCGATGGCTCGCTGTTGGCCAGGCCATGCTCCACGAAAACTACTCTGTTGAAAAGGTTCACGACTTGACCAAGATTGACAAGTGGTTCCTGTACAAGCTCCAGAATATTGTCGACTGCACTCGTGAGCTTCAAGCTGCCGGTAGTCTCGATGCTCTGCAGAAGGAACAAATCCTCAAGGCAAAGAAGATGGGTTTCTCCGATCGCCAGATTGCAAACGCTGTCAACAGCACCGAAGACGAAGTTCGAGCTCGTCGTCTCAGCTTCGACATTCGACCCTGGGTCAAGAAGATTGATACTCTGGCTGCAGAGTTCCCTGCTGACACTAACTACCTGTATACCACTTACAACGGATCTTCACATGACGTCACTTTTGAGGATAAGGGTACTGTTATCCTTGGTAGCGGTGTCTACCGTATCGGCAGCTCTGTTGAGTTCGACTGGTGTGCTGTTGGAGCCACCCAGGCTCTTCGGGAGATGGGAGAGAAGACTGTGATGATCAATTACAACCCGGAAACTTACAGCACTGATTTCGACACTGCTGATAAGCTTTACTTTGAAGAGTTGAGCTATGAGCGTGTCATGGACATCTACGAGCTGGAGAACGCATCTGGTGTTGTGGTGTCTGTGGGCGGCCAGCTACCCCAGAACATCGCCCTTCGCCTGCAGGAGACTGGCGGCGCTAATGTTCTCGGCACTGACCCCAAGGACATTGACAAGGCCGAGGACCGTCAAAAATTCTCTGAGATCCTTGACAGCATCGGTGTTGACCAGCCTGCCTGGAAGGAGCTCACCTCTGTTCAGGAGGCTGAGGACTTCGCCAACCAAGTGGGCTACCCTGTCCTGGTTCGTCCCAGTTATGTTCTCTCTGGAGCTGCCATGACTGTCATCCGCAGCCAGGAGGACCTCAAGGAGAAGCTGGAGGCTGCAGCCAATGTTTCCCCCGACCACCCCGTTGTTATCACCAAGTTCATCGAGGGTGCTCAGGAGATTGATGTCGATGGTGTTGCCTCTGAGGGTAATCTGATTATCCACGCCGTCAGTGAGCACGTCGAGCAGGCTGGTGTCCACTCCGGTGACGCTACCCTTGTCCTGCCTCCTGTCAACCTTGATGCTAGCATCATGGAGCGTCTCAAGGAGATTGCTCAGAAGGTTGCCAAGGCCTGGAAGATCACTGGTCCCTTCAACATGCAGATCATCAAGGCTGAAAACCCCGAGGGTGGTGAGCCTCTCCTCAAGGTCATCGAGTGCAACCTCCGTGCTTCTCGATCATTCCCATTCGTCAGCAAAGTCCTTGGAACCAACTTCATTGATGTCGCCACCAAGGCTCTCGTTGGCAAGAATGTCCCCCAGCCTACCGACCTCATGGCCATTGAGCGCGATTACCTTGCCACCAAGGTCCCCCAGTTCTCATGGACTCGTCTCGCTGGTGCGGATCCCTTCTTGGGCGTCGAGATGGCCTCTACTGGTGAGATGGCTTGCTTCGGTAAGAACCTCGTTGAGGCTTACTGGACTTCTCTGCAATCCACCATGAACTTCCGCATGCCCGAGCCTGGCGAGGGTCTGCTGTTTGGTGGTGAAATCGACAAGTCCTGGTTGACCCAGGTCGTCGACTACCTTGCACCTCTCGGCTACACTCTGTACGCCGCTAGCAACGATGTCAAGAACTTCATCGAGACCAGCTCAAAACACCAGGTCAAGGTTGAGGTGATTGAGTTCCCCACTGAGGACAAGCGTGCTCTCCGTGAAGTCTTCAAGAAGTACGACATCCGCGGTGTCTTCAACTTGGCCCTTGCCCGTGGCAAGACCACCTCCGATGTCGACTATGTCATGCGCCGTAACGCCGTCGACTTTGGCGTGCCTTTGTTCATGGAGCCCCAGGTAAGTGTTTCATCACACGACTCCCATATCTAATTAAAGCAACAACTGTGCTAACTTTTCCATTAGACCGCTATCCTCTTCGCCCAATGCATGAGCGAGAAGCTTCCTCGCCCCGAGGGCATCCCCTCCGAAGTCCGCGCTTGGTCTGACTTCATTGGCGGCAAGCCCCTGTAAATTATATACCCTGTATACAAGTGTCACATTTATTCTTTGTTCTAATGGCTTGCAATGAGCCCTTTGGGTTATAATTTGGTGCTACCTAGGTACCAATGGGCATGGCAAAGGGGAAGACTATGGAAGAGCGGCAAATGGATGGATGAATGGAGCCGGAAGTGAGATAAAAAAGGCGACTAGGCGTTTGTGTTAAAAAGAACCTTATTGCATACTATGATGCCTTGTCTTTGTCCAAGTGATGATGTAGAGGGATTTCAATGACCGAGAGGCCTCTCGAGGCTGTACTCTATTGTTAGACTCGTCAAGAGTTACTTGTGGTTTTGTGATGTTGCAACTGCGACCTATCAGATGAGAAGCGATCGAGTTGTCTGCTACCAACTTGCGCCTCAGTTGTGATACAAACAGATCATCTGACGAAAGAGTTTTGCATCTTCTTTGTCTCTCCCCCTCTTTTCATTCACCTCCCCTGCTTGTGCAATCTTTCTTTGTATGCAGGCAGCCACCTTATTCGTCAACCTCCCTTTGATCACAAGCTTTCCTTTGTTCATCAGCGTTCGGTTCTTCGCTGATAGCCGCTTTCTTCATCGGCAGCCACTTTACTCGCCAGCTGATGATGAAAACTATATAATCTGAACGAAAATCCTATCTTCCCCTTTCTTCTCTCCCTTGTCCTATCGCTATCCACCTTGATCTTTGAACAATATTTCTCGCCTCCCGTCCTCGACAAAAAAGCGCCTATTCACAACACAATGGATACTGTTGCCTTGGTACAACAGGAGGAAAAGGCAGACTGCCAAAACCCCAAGGATGAGTCGTCGACAAATAGCAAGCTCCAACCAATTGTCCCAGTCAACGACGGTGGGCTGGTTATCGGGAGATCAAAGGCGCAGGTCGAATGTGATACGGAAACCAACCCCGAAGCCCTTGAAACAATGAAGGAAAAGGCAGACTGCCAAAACCCCAAGGACGAGTCGTCGACAAATAGCAAGCTCCAACCAATTGTCCAAGTCAAGAACGGTGAGCTGGTTATCGTGAGACCAAGGGCGCAGGTCGAATATGATATGAAAGCCAACCTCGAAACCCGTGAAAAAATGAAGCAAAAGCTATTCCCATGGGCAAAGGACGCACCTAACGACTTGAACAAGGTAGCCCAGAGCTCCCTTTTCTACAGATATTCCCGTGAGCATGAAAATTGGTCCGACGAAATGAGGAAAGAGTTTCACGTCGTCGCGCCAACTATGGACTACTCGATGGGGGAGGAAAACATCATTACCGACCACCCGATCTGCACAGAGGCGAGCACCGGAAGCGCCACCTGGATTCATGCCTGGTTTTTGCAAGTGCTTTTCGGCAGAGCTGTTTGTGAAGGCCAGTCTTGGATTGAAGACCTGAAAAAGGAATATCCCGCTCTTCAGGTAGCGCTGTCTTCATCAGACCGACGGGGTGTCTTTTTCTTGAAACGTATAATAGATTGTAAACGTCGAAACGATCTTGAATGCCACAACAAAAAGATTCAAGGTCAGACACAAAAGATTATCGAGAACGTCAAAAACCATGATGACGAGGAGATTCGAAGACTACTTGAGAACAAGCCGCATATGGAAGCAGACCTAGCAAAAGCGATTCAAGACGTGCTCTCCAGTCATTTTCCAGTCAAGACGGTTAGCTATGATGGAAATTGAGGGCGCATAACCCCCCTAGATCTTATGATGGCCTTTGCCTAAGAGACCCGAATTGGGATGGGACAAGCATTGCAAATTCGCGATCGAGAGGGAGGAGGAATTTATGATGAGACAGACGGTGAGGTTCTCAACGGGAGGAGTGAAGCGGAAGACCCGGTTTCTCTTTGCTTTGATGGGCCACAAATTGGAGTTTTGTTCCCTCTTCTTTTTCTTTTGCTGGTTTCATTTGGTTTGATTTCTTTCTTCTTTCCTTTCTTGTTTTTTATATTTACTTCACCATCCGGATGAGGATGGTTGATGGCAACCACATGATTGTGAAACAAGACACTCCCTAGCTAGTCAGTTATAAAATGCTTTACAAATTTGAGGGAATCCTTGGTCTGAGTATATGCACGAAGAGTTTGAGAGACGCTCTATTTACATGAGACATAAATGTGTGAACGAAATTTCGGCGGTTTGATCTATCTCAGGTGATCTCAACAGGGGTTTCTCAGCTCATATACGTCTATCGACTTACAAGTCTAGCAGACAGAGGTAGACCAACGATCGCTACTTCGGTCCGTAATTTTTCGAAAAGTCTTGCAGATCCAGCGAAACAAAAAAAATGGAACAGTAACAACCTAATCAGAAGCCTTCTATCCTCTTCTCGTATCCTTTCGTTTACCACAAGCCTTTTTACTCTTTTCTAGGTAAGTTCTGCTACAACTGATTCATACGTTTCCACAACTGATCAACCTTCCACGCGTGCTCAAGCTTGAACGTATTAAACTCCTCCCACAACCTCTAGTTTCCTCTCTTCAACTCCCGGTTTCCATTCTCAAGCTGCCTAGCTCTCTGTTCGTGGGTGTTACAAACCGAACGCATCGTACCGTGTCCTTGCTTCAGCAGGGAACTCTCGCTCTCAAGCAGCGCAATCCTCTGTTCGAGAACATCGCAATTCAAACGCATTGTACCGTATTTCTGTTTTAGTAGCTTGATCTCCACTTCACTAGGCAAATTGAATTCTTGCTGATCATCGGAGCTGGATGCCATGGCTTCGATGTTTTGAGGAATTTGTTCATTTCTGGAGCTTGTAGTTATGGCCCCATTGCTTGAATGGGAGATTTCACGGCTTGAACGGGAGGAGTTTTGAGAGTTCTGCCTATCCCTGGACGCCTTGGTTCGGGTGCGTGGACGGGAAATCTCTTGAGGATATTGTTTCTCTTTGGAGCCAGATGCCTTGGTTCCCTTGGCGGGACGTGAGGGCTTCATCGGCATAACAGCCTTTCTTTTCCTATTCCATGTATATTTGAGAATCGGCGTTTCTTCTTTAAGGATCTTGGATCTTGGGTGTCCATGTTGTAGTTTTTGATGAAAGAATGGACGCTGTATCTTCAGGGACAACGCCTTCGTCTGCTTCATCCAGTACCCATGGGTGTTCCGCAGCAAGCTTCGCAAACCATGGTTGTCGCGAGCAAGCAATCGGACCAAACATTACTCGCAGAAACCAAAAATGCACCCAGATATGGGCATTCCATTTTGCATGTTTGCAGATGTAATGATTCGAAATCCTGCCTGTTGTTGGAAAGATTTCATACTTCAGAGTTGGCGCAACCTTTTTAAACTGCTTCGTCATTTCTTGGGTCCAAAGCCTAGATTCTCTTCTATATGCCTCTTTCAGCAACTTCTGAACTTGTTTCGTTATGAGATTGGCACTTGGATCTCTTGGAAATAAATCATCGAGAGCGTCACTGTTGTCGTCAGAATAATCAATTCCACTAGAGGAGTTATTTTCGCCGGAGAAGTCGTCGTAGTCGTCATCTTCGGAAGAGGAGCAGTCGGAGGAAAAAGAGTCATCAGAGATTTCCTGTGTTATCTGGGGAGACTGAAGGCGCTTTGATGAGTTGCCTCCGGTTTCCCCATCGAGAGGAAGAATGACTTCCTTCTTTAACAGATCGGCATCGTTTCCATTATTGTTTGGCGCAACGATAGTTTCCTTGAAAGCAGCCTCTTTGGCGGCGTTTCGTTCAGCGATGATTCTGTGAGATTCGGCCATGATCTCTTCGTCCTCGCGTCGAGCCAGAGATGCCATTTCGCTTGGTCGGAATCGTGGCTTGCGGGACAAAACAGGACAATAATGTAGACGCGTAATGGAAAAAAAAATGAAAATGAAAACAAGCATTAAATGAAGGAGAGAAGAATTAAGAAGAGGGAGGGGAATTTGTATAGTAGAGTGAGTGGTGAGTTGCCAGCTGTTTGTCAACTGCCAGGTCAGCCATTTTATCTATCATGTATCATGCGAGCAGCGGTCAAGGCAGCAAGATAGAGGGAAAGGAAGAAAGATTTATCCCGATCGTGACTTATGGCCTTGGGTCAGCAATCTCAAGATTGGATTCCCCTTGTTCTCCGAATATGGGCAACGCATGTTCCCTTAGCTTGCTTCCAAGGCCGAGGCGATTCACAGCGCCGACCCGCAAGACTTCTTCACTGCCTATATGAACGGGGAGACGACTCACAAAGTCTCTTCATTGATGAACATAGAATCAACACACAGGAAATCGTCATTATTGAACATATTCGCCTTTTTCAGTACGCGCGATTGTATATATCATGCAGAAAGGCGACCCAGCCAGGCTTGTCTCCCAGTCAACTCTACCACACATACCGTCGCAGATGATCTCGAATCAGAGATCTCGACAACAAGCATGTGCGAGAAAATCATCCAGTACGACTGTGGCCACATGTGCCGCCGCGCAATTCGCTGCATCGAACAGCAACCGAAATACCACCAGTCGGTGACTTGCTTCTCTGGCCTCGCCTACGCCTACGAACCAGACCACCACGAGACTCCCAAATTTGAGCGGCGCGCTACCCTCTGCCCAAAGTGCGAAGAAAAAGGAAAGGGTGGTGAGGTGTATCATAACGGCGTTCGACGAGCAAGCGCTCCTCCGATCGCGACAAGGCAGAATTCGATGCTGGTCCAGGAAAAGGAAAAGGAAAGGGAAAAGAGCACAATGACCAAGGTGAGTGCCAGCCTTGGCCGATCCAACTCCAATCCTGAACGGCCTCCCTCCCATCGTCTGAGGCGAGTCCGGGATACGGGCAGTAGCTCACTGCGCAACGAGTACAACCGTCTTGAACCAAGCCTCCAACGACATCCAGAACCACGCCTCGAACCACGCTCTGAGCCACGTGCCGAGCCACGCCTCGAGCAACGTCTTGAACATCGTCTTGAATCACCCCGGAATAACGGCTTTGAAGCCCGTCGCGGTCGAGCGCACCGTCCAAGGGACATCATCACGCGAGGTCTCGAGTTGGACTCGTTTGCGTCTGCATATGTTCCGTTCCGTGAAAGAACACCAACTAGCCCCGACAGCTTTACAGGCCTGCTAGATTACGCCGAAAGCACACACAACTTGTCCAGTCTTTCTCTCGGCGGACTCCGCCGTTCGACTTCGGTGTTAAAGGCGCTCCAAAAGGGCCTCGAGAGGAAGACTTCGGACGAATCATTCATCTGTGCATCAGCAAGAGAAGTAGAGAAAGGCGAAGGATACGAATAGAGTTTTGATGTTTTTTTTTTCTTTCTGTGTTGTAACTGTGATAGCCTATGGCTGCTAAATGTTACAAAAGGTGGTTAATAAAACAAATGCCGTACTGTACTTTTGCCCACCCACATCCTTGATACACCGCGCGTATTAGAGTGCAGTCCGCTTTGCACTTCTCCTTTGTATTTTTGAGGTACCATGGCCGTGTACAGACGCTATAGATGTGAAAACTTTTTTATGGTTGAAGCCCATCTGGAGGTGTAGATGATTGAGAGCGCTTGCTTGCAATATTAAGATTGTGTGATTGGAAAACTCAATGAGATGGGCGGTTTGTAGATTTGGACGCTGAAGAGATTGAAGAGGATTGTTTGCTTTTCGTCATATGGTGATGTCATCCAGTCTCGGTGAGAACGCCCCTGGAAAGGTTGATCGTATGACGAACTGAGTTGCGATGGTTGAGACATGTGGTTTACAGGTCCTGAGAGCCTTGGGTAAGGGATGGGGGAATGCCGCTCGAGACCAGAAACCCGTCATCTTTAAGTCAGTCTCGAATTAGTTGGCCTTGCCGTTCTTAGACGTGGCTTGGAACTTGGCAATCTCCTTCGACACGGACTTCTCAACTCGGGCCTGGAGTTCTCGTCGGTATCCGAGCTTGAAAAGCGTCTCGAGCCAGACAAACATGGGGGCGAGGAAGATGGCCTGGATGAGATTGTCCAACAAGGCAGGGGCGCGGCCCTCGAAGACGCCATGACCGATGAACTGTGCGATCCAGGAAACGATATGAACACCAAGGGCGACCTGGAAGGTTGTGGTGGGATCACGGAGGTGGCACGAGTTGACAAAGGCCGTGCTACCGAGACAAAAGGCAGCCAATACAAAGCCTGCTACTGGCTCTAACAACAGATAGAGCGATGCATAGAGGAAAGCGGCGATGGTACCGAGATTGAGATCCAAGTACGGGACGGTCAGCCAGCCGGGCGTGTGAATGAGCGTGCCCGTAAACGTGGCCTATTGCAGAAGGTAAGAACACAGAGTTGAGAGAAGGCATTGACATTGAGCGAGTTGAACATACCAAGGCAAATCCCGATACCAGCAGCAGAGGCACGCAGATCATGTGAATGGCCACATTGACGGGGTTATGGTGATAGGCGCCATACTGAGAGAAAATTCATTCGTTAGCGGGAGGACGAGGAAAGCATGAGGAGAGATGAGGCGAGCTCACAAACGTCAAGTGCCTTTCCAGATCCAGAGACATTTTGCCGAGGTTTAGAGACGGGCTGAAGGACAGACGGAGGGAGAGAGGGAGAAGCTCAACAAAATGCGAGAACCTGGTACCGCCAGTCCGAAGAATTGGCGCGACCGGCCGGCACGTGAGAAGAGATGCAATGGGACACAATGGACGAATCGGGGAGGAGAAGACAGAAAACCGCAGCAGCAAAGAGGCGCGAGGCAGCAACGAGACGGCGCGGGCGGCGTGCTATCGAGGTTGCAGAGTCGAGTGGAATTGGCCCGGCATGAGGGTTGATGATCCAAGGGGATGCAGATGCAGATGCAGATGCAAATTCGATGCACCAGGTCAGGAGACTCCGGAGGCGCTGAGAGCTCTGGGCGAGGTCCACTGAAAGCCGCTATGGCGTGTGCAAAGTTGGTGGGGATTTAGGAGCCTCGGGACAATTGACAGCGCGAGTGCTCAGCCTCTTGTCCCCTGGAAGTAAGCAAGCAAGCATTACAGGATACATGTACATAAGGTACTCAACGAGACGTGGTCGAGATGCTGGTCTATGCGAGTCTACATGGGGGATAGCATTGATGATGCACAAAATGCCTGTAGTCTATACTATTCCGAGGCATAAATGTGCAAGGGCCTTTTTTTCTTCTCTTCTCCCCGTGTTCTCATTGTTGAACAAGACTTGCCGATCTGTCTGCAACCTATTAGACATGGACCTAATGTAAGCTTCAGCCAGGTACCCGAGCTGCCGCCTTGACTACTAGCGCGCAGAGGTACCTTGAACCACGGGGTGCACCAAGCAGCAAAAGCTAAATGAGCGTCTTCTCTTGTCGATTCTGTGAGCTTTGATGAAGCAGTATCATGATGTAAAAACTGCGAATCTACTGCTTGGTCAAGTAATCGAATATGACGGGTGATTACAGTGCATCTCTGAATCGTTGTAGCACTTGGTAATAGATCGATACACGGTGGCCTTTTGTTGCGCGCTTCCAATGTCCCTCCTCCTCACTCATTCTCTCTCCAGGTACCTGCCTTGCACTTCACACAACAGTCGTAAAAAAAAACATGTGATGGACCCCTATTATGCGGAGTAAATGGGCAAACGCGCTCTACCCCAATCCCGAGTGCAGCGCATCAACGCAAATGACCTCAGCCTGCGTGTCTCCCGTTCGTTCGTCGCCCAAAGAATCGCTCTTAATAAGCTCGCGCCTGAGTCCCGTCCTGGGATAGCGCACAGACCATGTCGTAGCGCCGGCTCCAAAGATTTCCCATCCCAACCAAACCATCGCAATCGCAGCCTCGCCGCGCTTTCGTCTTCATCCTTCGTCCTCGCCAGCGCCAGCTCCATCAATCCCCAGCCGAGGAGCAGCAACGCACACCCGAAAGCGCAGAGATCCAGCTGTGCGTGTTGCGTCTGCTTCAAGGGCTTTGTCTCTTCTCCTCGCTCCTCGCTCCTCCTCCTCCTCCTCCTCCTCCCCTCCTCGCCGGGCTCCTCCCTTTCTTCGACGACCTCGATTGCCACGCCTCGCCGTCGCCGATTGACCAATAGATATCCGTGTAGCGCGCGAGTTCTCTCGAGAGACGAGATACGCCTTCATATGGGATATTGAGAGGCTTTTCTGGAAGGCTCACCCATTGCTCTCCGTCCAACCGACAGTTGCTATCCCGTCGTCATCCGAAGCCCTAGCCGTCACGCAACCAGTCGCCCATCATGTTCTTTCTCTACAATATGGAGCGCAGGGTCACCCTGCATCCGTCATACTTCGGCCGCAACATGCACGATCTCGTCACTAGCAAGCTGCTAAAGGACGTCGAAGGCACCTGCGCCGGCAGCTACTACATCATCTCCATCATGGACACGTTCGACATTTCCGAGGGCCGCATCTTGCCAGGCAACGGTCTCGCAGAGTTTACGGTTGGGTACCGCGCCGTCGTGTGGCGGCCATTCAAAGGAGAGACGGTAAGGCGAAATCTGCGCCCGTTGTGGCAAGCAGTTGTCTGACCCTGATCAGGTTGATGCCGTTGTCTACTCCATCAATCCACAGGGTTTCTTCGCCCAGGCTGGCCCCCTCAGACTCTTTGTGTCTGCTCATGTGCGTTTTAACTTCCCTCGCAATTCCGAATGGCCAATGGTTGGAGAGGTGCTGATTCACGTTGTTTGCCGCAGCTGATACCGAGCGACATCAAATGGGACCCCAACGCGACACCCCCTCAGTTTACCAACAACGAAGACACCGTCATCGAGCCGGGCACGCATGTGCGCGTCAAGATTATCGGCACGCGAACAGAGGTCGGCGAAATGTGGGCCATTGGAAGCATCAAGGAGGACTACCTAGGGTATGACTGATGGCTGTACGAGGACGCACACGTACATTGCCCGCTAACACTGCGCAACAGATGTCTCCAGGATTAATGGGTTATAAACATTCATTCATTCCTCGGGCCGAGGCGCAATTGAGCACATGAATTAACGACTCTGCGCTCCCATATGGTCTGAGCAGCAAAGGCCGAGGAATTAAGCGTCGTACGATGAGCTCAGCAGTTGGGCTTGATTTTCTGACAGGAGTTCAGAGATAGGAGATTGGGTAACACCCCCTTTCTGAAATCCAAACGAGGAAAAAAAAAACTCTGATACGCGTGGTTGATGCTGCTTTTCATTTTCGATAGAGCAAACAATATGGAGTCTCGCCCCCCACAACAATTAGATTCCAAAGATTGGACTCATTTATAGCCAACAGGCTTTTTTTTCTTTCATCTTCTTGGAGTATACAAATGGTAAAAACCCAAAAATCGGAAGAATCGGAATTGTTTTATATGTAAATATTGGTCCAGGCTAGTAATAGATGAATGGATAGCACATGCCGTGCTTGCTTTTTGCATGATGCATCTCCACATTGACATGACTCTAACTTCCGGGTACGTGGTATTATACAAGACTAAGACGACGGCGATAAGACAATAAGCAGCTCTCTCTATCAATAAGCAACAATCAATAAGCAATAAGCAATAAGCAATTAGCCCGATGGTAGCACGACTCGCTTCTTTGTTTGACCGAGACAGTCTCGCTATTCCCGTGTCGTGTCTCTGGTGCTTCCCCACGCCACCTTCAATGGCACCTCCACCAACTCTCCCCGCACTCTTCCTGTGATAGCCGACCTCATCCTGGACCATTCTCGTAGTGTAAGTCCAGTTTCGTCCCAGATCTCCCAAAAACATGCCACTGCCGGTTCATCTCTAAGTGCTTGTCCAATCATCGATTACAGAGACGGCGACGAGCTGCTCCGCCTGGCCTCTGACGTATTTTCCCTTTCACACGCCCCTTGCACTCCCCCTCCGATTCCGTCAAACACTGACCCGATTCTTTTTCCTCGGGAGCAAAACGAGCAGGCATGAATTCATTCTTCTTAAGAACCGCTACACCCCGTTTACTGCTCCGGAACATATCAGCTGTGCAACCCAAAATACCCAGAATGTCGTATATCGGAGCGGGAGTTGCGCCGGGAGGCGCGCAGGCGACGGTGCAGTCGGGCAACAAGCTCAAGGCGCTGTTTGACGCGAACAAGCCTGCTTTCGGCGGCTGGCAGATGCTTCCGGGAGCGACCATCTCGAGGCTGTTGGCGCAGTCTGGCGTGGATTGGGTGTTGGTGGATTGCGAGCATGGAGGCATGGACGGTGCGTTGCTGCGTGTGCAATTGATGTGAAGGTTTATGGAGTGAGTGAGCTGACAGTGGTTCTGGGTCGGTAGATCGTGCCATGCATGACGCGGTTCCTGCCATTGCGGCATTGGGAGTGTCTCCCATTGTGAGAATCGCGGGGATGGAGCCTTGGATGGTGAAGCGTATGTTTCCTCATTCTCTTCATATATACATGTAGTGAAGCTGACTCACTTATGATGCAGGTGCTCTGGACACTGGAGCTCACGGTGTATGTGTCCCAACTACTGCCTAATGACCAAGAATATCCAATATATAGTTACGTTAGATGCTGATGCAAGATTGAATACTGATACGAAACTTCCAGGTCCTTGTCCCGCTGCTGCGTACCGTCAAGGAGGCCGAAGACCTCGTCCAGGCCGCCAAGTTCCCTCCTTGGGGAAAGCGAGGCTTCGGGTCTCCTTATTCCGCCAAACAGTTCGGGCGCACCATCAGCTCCCTCGACTACCTCAACCAGGGCAACGAGTCCATCTTGACCATGGTTCAAATCGAGACCAAGGAGGCCCTCGAAGCAGTAAATGAAATCGCTGCCGTCGAGGGAATCGATGTGCTGTTCGTGGGTCCATTCGACCTAGGTAAGAAAGCTCGAGTAGCTATTTGTAAGCACCGCCCGAGATTCGGTTGTTAACTGGCAAACACATTCAGGTAACAACATCGGCCACCGCATCACCACCGAGGGCATCCCTCCGGAGCTCGACGCCGCCCTGGTCAAGATTCAGGCTGCCGCCGCCAAAGCTGGCAAGAAGAGTGGCATCTACACGCTCGACCCGGCCCACGCCAAGAAGTGCCAGCAGCTGGGCTTTGACATGATCCACGTAGTTACGGACTACATGGGCATCGAGGACATTGCTAAGCAGTCTCTCACCGCGGCCAGGAGTTAGATACCGAACTGCGCGTACCAACCAAAGAAATGTTCCTCTGTTGAATCTTGGGTAGATTAGAAATTAGAATTCTAGATGCCTTCGACTTGATCCATCTTGGCCTCGACTTGCTCCATCGTGAACCGGTGCATCAGCGTGATAGCCTTTCCAGTCTTGTTGACGTCCTCCTCGGGAGCGTCTGCTTTGCTAATGTGTATCTGTTCACCAGTCGTTAGTTAGGCCACTCCAATTGCTTGCCATCCGAAACAAGAGAAACACGGTACTCACAACAGGAATATCGAAATCGTATAAATTTTTCCACTGCTTGCATTCCGGCTTTGCCAAATTCACCTCCGTGTACTGAAACGGCCGCTTATCCCAAACGTCCGAAAGCACACCCTTGGCCTGCGTGCAGAGACCGCAGTCGTCCCTGGAAAATAAAGTGATCCTGCAAGCCTGCAGCAGACGCCTAGTCACAAACATCTTCAGCTACCTATTGCACATGAAATCCTGCGATTCTTTCTTCTATTTAGCATCGGATGTACTCTGAGATGTTTTTGGCGCATTCCACCAATGGCACAAGTCTCCAAGTCTTCCCTGGTACGTAAGATGGGACGATTTTAACTGGCGATGAGATCAGATGACTCAGCCTGCATAAACCCCACACAACCTGCATGAAACACACCGAAAAGACAAGGTCTGTTTCGCACCGACATCACAACTTCAAAAGAACCAAAACTTCCAAAAAGAAATTGCAAAAACATACAACAGCCGGTGTTCGCTGATGGTCACCCACTTAACTTGCTTGCCAGTATTACTACTCTGTGGGGTACTGATCCTCTACAAGATGGGTTTCAAACTTCAAAGGTAAGTAGATAAAGTAAGGCAAATTGATTGCGGATATGGCCCGTTGATTTCGCCTATATACGGCGTCTATCTGAACCACGCTACCCCCCATCTAATCAACTTGTTCCTCTCATCATTTCAGGCGGCAAAATACTCTCTTAATCCCTTTCCAATCCTAGTTTAGACGCCCAACAGATATCTAAGTACAGCTGTGCACATCCCATCCGAAGTAAATATAACGCTTGCCGGTAAGAAGTTGATCGAAGGAGGAGTTGTTCGAAGGAGGATTGAGATGTTGTCGAAGGAAGATGGAGATGTTGTCGAAGGAAGATGGAGATATTGTCGATAGAATATGGAGGAATTGTTCGTTGGAGAAGCTATATAGTACGTCAGCCGGAGACGATTTACGATGGTCCCCTCCGCCTCATCTTTATCTGAATCATTAGGCCAAAAGGCCCTTATAAGTATATTAAGCTCTGTAACAGTGCATGGGGCGCTCTAAAGCCATCATTCGATCTTGCGGTAGATCGAAAGACCGACTAAAGATTAGTTTACTGAGGTAGAGAAAAAATTTTTGATGCCAAACTCAGCTTATCGGCAAGTAATTCCTGCATCCTGTTGAAGTTCCGTGAAGGGCAGTATTCGCCTTCACATTAACACGAATAGCCTCTTTATCACGCGCGCGGTTTGAGGCCGACTTCATCCAAGGCTAAGATGACCGAACCACCGATAATACTGCTAATCGTTGAATGAGCTATTGAGAAGTTTCTTTTTTTTATCTTGAGCACACTACAGTTGCGACTTGCTTCGTGTGATTAAAGACCAGTGCCATGATCAATTTCGGAGTCATCGACTGCATTCCTGTTATTCACATGGACTCCTCGGAACAACGGTTTCATCATCCCCGCACGGCTTTTGTCGCAAAATTCATTCGAGGGGCCCATTCCGGAGCCCATTCCGGTATTATTATTCCGTGGCCAGCGTAAGACGTACGGCTTTCCGCTTGGCTGAAGCGTCGTTGTTTGACGTGCATCTCATCTACTGTTCCATCCAGGGAATACTCCTGAGTATATGCTGTGAAGTTGCGGTAATGCTGTATTGAAAGGATGACATTCAAGATGAAATTTGCTCCGATGAAGTTGAAACCGACTTCGATGGGCCTAGAGGGCAATGCCTTTCGAACCTGGCATCCGTGACGGGCCACTGCAAGACGCATTCCCTAGTGCAGTTCGTGCGATCTGTTATGGCTCTAGTACAGCAGGATTCTCCAGGTACGATGATGACGGGGCTGGTCAGATCAGGTCGTTGCCCCTGATCAATCTCGCGAGAGCAGCCCACACCTCTAAAGGAGCCAGAAGACAGCCACTGGCAAGACTTTTGTTTGTCTCTTCCATAGCGGTTGTCAGGAACTATGGCAAAGAGTTCTCTGCTTCGTCTTCATCAATCACCGTGCCAGAGGAGGAAATGCAGAGTCCGGAGACAGTGGTGCCCATGGGCGGGCATTTACTCGGACATGATTCTATTATTTTCCATCTCTGGTCAGTTTCTCCCAGCCTGCTTGGGCTATTATACTCAACTTATTGATAATGATACACGACACAGTAATCCGATGCAGAGGCCAAAATGGGTATGTGAACGTTTGCTCGGCCATGTTGGTCGCCACTTCCCAGACGAAATTGAGCGTGTTATTGTACGAATTGGCCAACTTTGGGGGCCGGAGGCATCGCCGGGAATATGGATGACGTCGGAGCATATTCCGGCATTATCGAAGGCGAGTAGTCTCATTGAAGCCATGCCTCAACTTGAAGGAGTAAGCCAATCACGTCCTTGATTCCAGGTGCTGTTTACTGACATATCATAGGACATATCTTTGGTTGCCAGTCGATCGAGCCAGTCGCTCTTTAATCGACATTCTATCCCAGCACGACAAGGTTCCTTTGGTCCTTCATGTCGAGAATCCTGTGCGGCAAAGTTCAGATAGCCACCGCGACTGAACCAAGTAGCGCTGTTAGGAATCGAACCTAACCTTGGATAACTCATCCGATCACAGATAGCATCATGAACACACACTGGCAGATGCGCTAGGCCTCTCTCTTGACAGGAAGATACCCTACCAGGAACGGCTCTGTAAGGTATCAAGTCTGGATGTATTCGACTCCCTGGTTGATTTCTTCACCAATTCTTCACCAACGATTTCCAAGACTTAGCTCTTGGGAAGATTCAACTAGATACGAAGAAAGCCATACACTGCTCAAAGACATTGCATGAGTCGCAGGGTGTTGATAACGACTTATTAGTAGAATACATCAGGCGGTGGGAGAAACAGTGAATCTTTACAAAAGCTGCGCAATAGCCTTGAGCTAGGCACTCACCATCACTTATATATATTCCCACTAACACAATCATTACAATCTCCGCTCCGAATACCACTAGCCATCGGTGTTCCAACCCTCTCTATACATTCTACAACTTTGTTATGGCTATCGTAATTAGTGAGAGATGGCTAAAGTACATGTACGCAGTTCGCACCGGCATCGTAATAGCCACTCTAGATATTATTGTGTCTGTATTCAGACAAAAAAGACTTGCCGGAAATCAACAAGAAGCATGGTTGGGCGTAGCTTTTTGCAAGGCCCAAGTGACATGTACTGTAGGCTGAGCGGCCCTCTTACATAAGCAGAACTAAAGGAAGTCTGGCGCCTTTTCTTTCTTTCTTTTATTTATCTAATCAATTCCTTTCCCAGAAACCTCCACCTCAACGTCAAACAACAATATCTGCCTCGCCATCAATTGGCCCGCCGCCGAGAGAATTGCGAAATGCTGCCTGCTACCATCAGGGCCGGCGCCCGTCGGCGTGTTTTCCAGGCTCTCTCTCGCGCGCGTGCACCTGCACTGTCCTCGACCCGATGCCTCAACTGTGCTCTCTCAACCACTCATTCCCTAACCACCGCTTCCTCGCCTACCTCAGATAGGACCCGCGAGATTGTGGCTCAGACTATTAGCAGCATTGGCAGTAAGCGTGAGGGGTAGGTCGTCGATGCTACGAGATAACGAGTGTCGGGGGATATTTACTAATATATATATATATACAAAATTTAGCGAACAATACATCAAATTGTTCACCAGCGTCTCCTCCTCCCAACAATTTGCTGTTATCAAAGTAGGGGGTGCCATTCTTCGAGACCACCTAGACGATCTCTGTGGAAGTCTTTCACTGCTCTTCGAGCTCGGATTATGTCCAGCCGTCGTTCATGGAGGCGGGCCGCAGTTGAATCACCTGTTAGAGGCTGAGGGGGTGGTTCCTGAATTCAAAGACGGAATAAGAGTAACCGATGCTAAAACCCTTGGTATTGCGCGAAAGCTCTTTTTGGAAGAGAATCTACGACTTATCGATCGCCTCGACTCCCTCGGCGTTGCGACACGCGCTATACAAGGGGCGTTCGGGGCAACCTACCTCGATAAAGAGAAGTGGCAGTATGTCGGTAAGATTACCGACGTCAGGAAGCAAGCTATCGAGAGTAGTATATCTGCCGGATATATACCCATCCTTACTTCAATGGCTGAAGGGGATGACGGTTGCCTCTTGAATGTTAATGCAGATGTTGCGGCTGCTGAACTTGCCCGTACTCTCAAGCCCCTCAAAGTTGTCTATCTATCTGAAAAAGGAGGCCTTTTCAATGGCGATGGCAAGAAGATCTCTCAGATTAATCTTGACGAAGAGTTTGACTATCTGATGGCCCAACCCTGGTGCCGTTATGGTACTCGCCTTAAGATTAAAGAGATTAAGGAGCTTCTTGATGACCTTCCCCGCAGCTCTAGTGTGGCGATTATCCACCCAAAGGATCTTCAAAAAGAGCTTTTTACTGATTCTGGTGCCGGTACGCTAATTCGCCGCGGTAATAAGATCCAAAAAGTTACCTCCATTGCCGAATTCAATAACATCGAGAAGCTAAAGACTACCTTAATCAGTAACTATAAGGGCCTCGATGCTGAAGCTGTTGTTAATCGATTTATCGACATGCTAAAGGAGAAGAAATTTACTGCTTATTATGATGATGATATGCAGTGTCTGGCTATAATAATACCTCAGGGTGAGAGTCAAGCTATAGCCACACTTGCCGTTCTAACTACAACTAAGTCTGGCTGGCTTAATAATATTATGGAAAATATCTTTACTGTTATTAAGAAAGACTACCCTATGCTAGTCTGGACTGTTAACCAGGAAGATGAGAACTTGACCTGGTTTTTCGAAAAGGCTGACGGGAGCTTTCTGAAAAATGGCAGTGTCCTCTTTTACTATGGCTGTGACTTACGCTCCGAGGCTCTTGTCCCCATATATGAGGACTTTGTATCCAGTGGACGAGCCATGCTCGGTAGCGCTAATCTCGAAAGGCTCCTTCGTTAGGCTGATCAGACTTCTATCTTGTGAAAAAGATAGATGCCCGAGAGGGGGTAAGTAGTGCAAGGGCCAGGAGGTTGGTGGATAGAAAGGACAGACCTACGTCTCGTTAGTTCAATGCCCAAGCATGGCTTTACGGTTTACTCTTTTGGGCGCTCATCTAAATCAAGGAAATTGCTTGCTCTCATTTTCTTCGAGGACGTCGTGTGTGGCCCTCACCGCCTTGTCCATCTGACTGACACAATGTGTTCGAAACTACATGTACCTGTTGGGCTCTGACCGGTACAGAGATTGGCCTTTTGACTTTCCGTACTATCTAATCTTACGACTCCGCGCCTCCTCCTTTGACTACAGTACCATTACTACGCTTAGTTCAGGGCGTTTGCGCCCTGTCTATCTCGGCCCGCTCGTATAATCAAGAGCTACGTGGCAGCGCTAGCAACACCAATATCAACACTTCTGTGGACATGAGGGACGTCTCCGATAGTTTTCTGCGCGGACAGGAATCACCAGATCTCAGCAACACACTATTTAAATCCCATTGAATATCTCAGATCTCAACCTCTATGTTGATTTCAGGTGTATCCCCTTTTCAGATATTATTAGCCAGAAGCTTCACGGCGGCTAAGAGTATGATTATATATATTTGTTTGTTTATTTATTTATTTTATTATTAACGTCTACTAAGTAAGCTAATTATATAAGTCTTTATCTAGGCACTAGGATAGTAAAAGCTACTAGGTTTAGATTAAGTATTTATTATATTTTAATATAATAAAAGAAAAGCAGGGGAATATTAATTTATATTATATATTTATTTTTATAAAAGGAGGGCTATATAAGCTTATATTTTTTATTAATTTTTAAAAATCCTTATATTTTTTATTATTAAAAAAATATTAAATTTAAGTAGTTTTAAAGTATATTTTTTTTTTAATACTTTAGGGAGAAAAAAGGCTATTATATAATATTTTATAAAATATTTTTATATTTTTAATTTATTATATTTATAAATAAACTTAATATTATATTTAAATTATTTATAATATTTTATAAAGTTTTTATACTTAAACTTTTTAATTAATAATTTATATAAAATTAATTATAAAAAATATAATTTTAAAAATATAAAAAAAGCTTTATAAAAATTTTATTTATTAACTTTATAAAACTTTAAGTAATTATTATTTTAATTATTATTTTATATTTTTTTATATTTTTTTTTTTTTATTATTTAATATAAATAATAATAAAGTAATTTTTTAAATAATAAAAAAAATTTAAATTTTTTTTTATTAATTAATTAGCTTTTTTATTTCCTAGTATATTTTTATAATCTAAAACTTAAGTTATTTTTATAATTATTTATAAAAGTAATTTTTAAGTAACTTAATATAGCTTTATATAAGCTTCTTAAGATAATATAAAAATTAACTTTAGTATTTTATTTATTATTATTAAATTATTTAAAAAAAGTAAAAATTTTTAAATATTTAAATTTTTAAAAATATAAGCTTTAGTTAATTTTATTACTTTAAAAATATTTATTATTTTAATATTATAAACTTTTATATTAATAAAAAAATTATATATTATAATTTTTTTAAAATTATAATATATAATAATTTTTTATTTTATATTATTTTATTTATTCTAAGACTTATTTAAGTAAGTAAAAGAAATAAATTTAAAAAAATTATTAAAAAACTTAAGATATTTTTTTATTATTTTTAATTTTAAAAAACCTTTAAAATTTAAGTTTACTTTAATAACTTTATTATTTTTAATAAAAAAAAATTAAATTATTTTTTTTATTAAAGTTATAATATATTATAATTTAATAAAAAAAATCTTAAGGAGAAGTTTTTTATTAATTTATTTATTAACTAAGTAATTTTTATTTAAATTTATAAAATAAATTATTATATAAAATTTAATTTATATTACTTATATTAATACTAAAAGAATTTTAAATTTTTTATATATAATAAAAAAATTAATTATTTTTTATATAAAAATAATTACTTTAATTATTACTTTAAATAATAGTTTTAAAATTATAATTAATTTTACTAAGCTTATTTTTATTTATTTACTTAAGTTTATTATATTTTATTTACTTTTACTAAATTAAAAAGCCTTTATTTTATATAAAGTTATAGGGATAATATAAGCTTTAACTATTATAATTATTATATTTAGTAAAAATCTTTTTTATATTTTATTTAAAAATTTTAAAAAATTAATTATTTTAAAAAAAAAAATTTTATAATTTTAAAATATTTTTTAAAAAAAAACTATAAGTTTAAGTATATTCTTAATTAATAAACTAAGTTTTAAAAAGTTATAGTTTTTTTTTTAAAATTTACTTTTTTATTATATATTTAGGTTTTAATTTTATAAAAATATATAAATTTAACTTTATTTAAGTTAAAAAAAACTATATTTTTATTTCCTTAATTTAAAATATTTTTTAATCTTTACTAAAGCTTTTAAATAATCTCTTTAATATTAGCTTTTATTATTATAATATTAATATTATTTATATACCTAAAGTAAATATTAAAATTATTAAGCTTTAGGCTAAGGAAAAAGTAAAATATAAAAATAATAAAAAAAATAAAAAACTTTTATAAAGTTTTATCCTTTAGCTTTATTTTTAAAAAAATAATCCTATAATTATTTTAAATAAAAGTTTTATAATTATTTATAAAAAAATTAATTTACTTTATAAAAAAAAAAACTATTTTTATTCCTTAAGTTTATATATTAAATAATTATATATAATTAAATTAAAAATATTAAAAATATTAAATATAAGAAAAAAAAAATCTTATATTAAAGTAACTTTAGTATTATATAATAAGTAAATTATTAAATTTATTATAAACTTTTTTAAAAAAGTTTTAAAATATTATTTTAATAATATTTTATATTTTATTATTAAAAAAAAGACTTTTTTAATAAAGAATTTTTTAAAGCTTTTACTTATATAAAAAAGTAAAAAAATAAGTTTATATTTTTTATATATAATATATATTTTTTTTAATTTCTTAAGTTTAAAAATAATAATAATCTTTATATTTTAAAAAAAAAGTAAGTAATATTTTATTATAAAATATTTATAAAAAAAATTAATTATATATTTACTAATAATAAGCTAAGTAAATTATAAAAAAGTAATTAATATATTATTTATATTAAATATAATATTACTTAACTTTATTATAGCTTTTTTAATTTTTAATTTTAATATTATTTAATTTTAGTAAATATTTTTATTAATAAAAAAATTTTGTTTTTATAAATTTAAAATATTTTCTTTTATTATTTTATATTTAAAAAGTTTATTTTTAAAAAAAATTACTTTTTTTATAAAATTTAAAATACTTTTATTTTTATTTATTAAAAAAAGTAATTAAAAATAATTTATTACTTTATATTATTTAATTATTAATTAAATATTTTTAATAATATTAATTTTTATTATAATTTTATTTTAGTAAATTTATTTACTATAATATATAATATTTTTAAGGATTTTATAAGCTTTTTTATAAATAAAAAAGCTATTTATTATTTTTTTATAAGCTTTATAAGCTACTTTATATTTTTTTAATTATTATAATATATTATAGTTATTTTAATATTTAGTTTTACTAATTACTTTTATAACTTATTTAAAAAAATCTTATAAAACTTTAGTACTTTTATTTAAATTAATTTTTAATAATATAATTAAATTAATTATAAGAAAAGTTTAAGTAAAAAAGTATATAAATTAACTAAAGTTTTTTTAATATTTTATTAATATATATTTTTTTTTTACTTTTAAAATTATTTTTTAAAAACTTAAAAAAGTTTATAATTATTATATAATAATTTAATTTTATATTAAAAAAATATTTAATTTTAATTAATATAAAATAATTTATGAAAACTAAATTAATATATTTTCTTAAGTATTAAATAAGTATATTTATTAAAGTTAAAAAAAAATTATATATTTTTATTTATTTTATAATTTTATTATTTATAAGGTTTACGCTTTTATTAAAGTTTTATAATTAATATAAAGTATTAAAGTTATTTATAATAATTAAATTAAAAAAAAAGATTTTATTTAATAAAAGTTTTTATAATTATATTTACTAACGCTTTTTAATAAATATTAATAATAATATATTTATATATTTTTATTTAATATATATATTTATTTTTTAAGCTTAAGGAGAAAAATTATTTATTAAGGAAATTTAAGGAAATTTTAATAAATATAAAAATTAAGGGTTTAGTATTTTTTTAATTATTTAAGGGGTTATATATTTAATATTTAAGGTAATTTTTAATTTATTTTTTATTTAAAATTTTATTTTATTAAGTATAAGGTTTTTAAATTAGTATAATATTATAATTACTTTTTTATATTAATAATAAAGTAATATTTTAATATAAATTATTTTTTTTAATATTAACTTAAAAGATTTTAAAATTAAAATTTTTTTAATAATTATAATAAAATTTATTATTTATAAACTTATATTAAAAAGTTTATTAATTTTATAAAAAGTATTAAATATATTTTTATTATTTTTAATTTTTTTTTTATTATTTAAATTAATTATATAAATTACTAATTTAATAAAAAAGGTTTTTTATAAAAGTTTTTTTTATTTAAATTAATTTTAATAATAATTTTTTTAACTAAAGCTTAAAAAAAGAAAAGTAAAACTAAGCTAAAAATTAATAATTTTATATAAGGGTTAATTTAAGTTTTTAAGTTAAATATTTTTTTAATATTAAGGGCTAAAGTAAAAATAAGTTTAAGTTTAAGTAAATTAATTTTATTATATTTTTATTAATTTAATTTTTAAATTACTTAAAATTAAGTTTTAATAATTTAAATTTTTTTTTATTTTTAATAATTAATTTAGTAAAATATTTTAAAAAATTTATTATATAAAGGCTATTATAATTAATATATTAAAGTAAAAATAAATAATTAATTATAATATTATTATATTTAAATAATAATTTATTATATTTATAATATTTTTTAATTTTAATATAATTTTATAAATTATAAAATCTTAAATATTATAAGTATTAGGTAACTTAAGGAAATTAAACTTAAATTTTTATTAAAAAAAAGTTATTAAATAACTTAAAATTAAGTTTAATATTTTTTTTAAAAAAAATAAAATAATAATATATATTAAAATTTTTTTTAAAAAAGGCTTTATAATAAATTATTAATATAGTTTTAGCCTTAGCCTTAGTATATATTTTTTTAAAAATTAATATATTAATAAAATAAGTTTTACTTATATTTATATAAGTTTTTAATATATTATATATTAAAAAAACTTTTTAAATATATATTTCTTTAATTTTTAAATTATTACTTTTTACTTATATTTAAAATATAATAATTTTATTTTATATATTTTAATTTTTACCCTTAGGGGTAAAACTTAATTAAATTTTTTAAAAATAAATAATATTTTTATTAATAAATTTTAAAATTTTAATTAATTTTTATTTAGCTTTTATAATTAATATTTTCTTTTATATATAATTTAATAAAACTTAAATAAAAATATAATAATTAAGTTTTTTTTTAAATTTATTAATTTTATTTTTTAATTTATTAATAATATAAATTAATTTTATATTATTAAAAACTAAGTTTTTTATAATTATAAACTTTTTTTATATTTTTTTATTATAAATATTTTTATATAATATAATTTATATTTATATAACCTTAGGGTTTTTTTAACTTACTTTTTTAATAATTATAAATATTTTTATTTTAGTAAAGTTTTTAATAATTTTTAATTTATTAATTTTAATATAAAATATATTAATTAATATTATTTTAATTAATTAAATAATTTTTTTTTTATTACTTAATTTTTTAAAATTTTTAAGTTTTTCCTTAAGGTTAATATAAAAAGTAATAAAATTTTTAAAAATAATATTTAAATATAAGTAAATTTATTTTACTATTATTAAAAAAAATTAAAAAATATATTATATTAAGTAAAAGTTAATAATTATAATTATATTTAATATTATATTTTATTTAATTTATTATTATATATTAATTTTATTAATTTAATTTATAATTTTATTTTTAATAAAAAATTTTCTTTTTTTATTTAAATTAATAATTTTTTTTATATTATTAAAAATAAAAATAATAAAGCTTTTTAAAATTATTTATATTATAATTATTATTATTATTATACTTAATTTTACTTTATTAAAACTAAATAAAAGTATTTTATTTATACTAAAGGCTTTTTTAAAATATTTTTTTTTTAAAAGTAAAAAAAAAAATTATAATTTTTTTTATTTTTAAGCCTAAGGGAGTTACCTTTTTTAATAATTAAAAAGCTATTACTAATTTAAAAATAATAAGTTTTATTTTATTTCAATTATCTAAAGGGTTTATAAATATTTTTATCTCTTTAAAATTCTTAAATAAAACTATAAATAAAAAAATTATAGTTATTTTATTTAATAGCTAGTTAAATAGGTAGGAGTTTTTAGTAGTTAGGTACTTAAAAGGTGGGGTACCTGTAGATATAGGAGGGAAGCTTGCGATTATATATAAGGGTCCGTCGTTGGAAAGTATCTTCAAATAGGCATCTTCACAACCCTTTTCAGGGGAATTATATACAATGTTTAGACGCAGTTTGGGAGCTCTAGGGTTGTTATCGACGTTGTTGCCAGTTACTGGGATAGCTACATTGCCTAATGACCGAGTACTTAATATAACAAGTACTTTATTCTCCATGAGACTTGGAAAGGACGGAGTCTTTCTCTTGGCATCACGGCGCTGCGTAGAAAGTTAACTGGTTGAGGTCGTGTTGACTTGCAATTCTTTGATATCCTCGTCCGATGGAAGGTGGGTCAACAAGTCATTATTGCGTTACGTTGCTATCAAATACTCAAAGTAGTGAATACATTCGAGGAATTCTTTAGCGTAGAGTGCTGATACAAAGGAATTCATTCATACCCGTGCTCATTAACTACAACACCAAGCGCAAACAAGCAAATTCGCCAACAGACACAGGCAGTAGGCAAATTGAAACACCTGGGGAAAAAACACCAAAGCAGAGAGCAGAACAGCTGAGAATCGTCTGGAGTGAGAACATCCGTCGCTTCAAAAATATTGAACTTGGGCCTGTACGCTGGGTGGATTACGGTTGCCCATATATCGTATTGCTAGATAACATCATCCAGTGATCAACATCAGCTGCTAGACACACTTAGGAAGAAACAACATAGGCTTGTCTGGATCAGAATCAGTTACTGTTCTCAGCACTATTCTGATGCATGTATCTGAAAATAGTAGCTAATACTTTCATTTCCCAGCTCGCCTCCATCCATTTGTCCCTTGGTCCTTTTCGTCGCCATCGATGAGTATTGCGGTCTTAACAGATTGATTGGTAGTTAGTCGGCAAAGCGTCCAGGGGTACTCCGTAAGGTCAGTACCAAGAGGGAGGAGTAAATCGAGTTACAAAAAGAGATGGCTGTATAGCCAGGAGCACCAATCAACGCGGGACCAGAGAGGGACGCTTAGGTTGCGATAGCGGTCATGGTAGCTGTAGTACCTATTCCTCGTCACCATCTTCAACATCGGCAGACTGGGCAGCAAGCTGCTGTTTCTTTAGTGCCCTCCGTTGGTCGCGTATCTTCTGCTGCTCCTTGTCAACGACTCTCTGACAAGGTGCGCATCTCTTGAGACCACGTCTCCCCTCCCCGTTGCAGCTCTCGCAGATCGGCTTCACTCTCTCTAGGCACACCGCGCACCTTGCTTGCCCTGGCACAATCTCTCGATCACAGCCATCCTCGATACAGTCTGTTTCAATGCCGTCTTCTCTCTTCTTTTCTCTCCTTCTCTGTGCCTTGTAAGCTCTTAAGCAGGTGGGGCACAGCCCTTTTTCGCTGTAAGAAGGTACTTTGCATTTTCTGCACTCCCCGAGAGGCACTCCTGTTTCACGACTCTCCCTGGCCTCGACTGTCTTCCGCTTGGAACGCGCCTTTTTGTTTTCCTCCTTCCTCCTCTGACGACATTCAGCGCACCTTGTAGACAGGCCCTCTGGTGGTCGGGGGCAATCCTCTTCTTCGCATGTTTTAGCCATACGCGCCTCATCGCGTTTCTTTTGATTCCACTCTCTGATTCTCTTCTTTCTCCATTCCCGGGCACAATCGGCGCACCTCGTCGACTTCCCCTGCTTTAGCTTTCCGCAGTCGCAGTCTGACTGCTCGCCTTCATCAGTGTCCGAGTACTGCTGTCTCTTGTAGGGCTTTAGATGATTGTCATCCTCATCGTCTTGATCTCTCTTCCTCTTGTTAGCCACCGCGTTGCTGCTCTTAGCCAGCTCATCGCCACTATCGACCCTTTCTTCATCGGCTGTACCCAAGCTAATCAGGTCTTTGTTGTTAGACCTGCGGAAACTCTTCATCCGCTCCTTAAAACAATTCACGCATCTTCTTAACCCCCCAAGTCGGTCTTCGTTACACCCTTCTTCAATACAAGCGAGTTGCACCAGGCCATCGACATGAAGTCTGCATGTGTCGCAGAGCCTGTCATAGCTGATGACTTTTCGTCGACATACCTTGCAACGATGCCTCGTTCTGCGCCGGCCGTAGCGCCTTACTGCACATCTGCCACACCAGGATTGGCCATAAGCGACGCCTCCGCAATCAACGCACTCACGGGCCTTGCAAAGTTTGCATTTTCTGTCGCGAGTTGCGGCCCCACAATTTCCACAGCGGATGTCTCTCCTCTCGTTCACCATGGTAAGCAGCGCCAAGTCAAGTTCTTGTTCGGTGCACGCGCTGCCGGCAGTTTTGTTAAGAGCATGTGCCCGATTTCGGCATCGCGACCAAAACCACCCTCCATATTGGGCATTGATAGGAATCGTTTCGTATGCCTGTTGAACAATCAGCGTTGCAGCTGGGTTGGCGTTTGGCTCAAGGAGAGCTACTCTCCACAGTGTCGACCTGGGCGCCGACAGTGTGTTATTTATGCTCATCAGTAAATCATGTGCTTGCTTGTCTGGGCAAGTCCCATATTCGCCTTCTGATTCTTCACGACGCGCCTTGCGGGTCACACGCTCAGCAACTGCCAAACTGGTTCGGAAAAACCCGTGTTGGAAGAGGTGATAGCTTACGGCGCGATACAAAGCCATCTGCGTAGCAAACTTGTATTCCTCCAGCTTATCCTGCAGGAACAACAAGCAAAGTTTCTCCTCGCGAGCAGTCCAGGGACGCCTAATCAAAATGTCTCCATCGCCACTGGCATCCTATGGCAGTTGGTCGAAGAGCCGGAGAATCGACATGCTGGCGACTGGCACTTCAACTTTTCCGTGGTGGTACTTCTGCTGTCGGGTGGATAAAATATCCATCAACATCACCGCATCCACAATAGCATCATGCCATCTGAATACTAGGTCTGAGGGGTAGTACAAGCAAGCAACATATGCTAACTGATAGCCTGGCAGCATTGGCCCAGTTACTTGGAGCCATCGCATAGGGGACACCCAGTTCCCAGGGGCCGGGAGAATGTCTTCATGGTTGTATCCGGCGCGCTTGATGTTATCGCGATAAACAATTTGATCGAAGGGATGAGTGGCCCATTCAGCCATAAGCATATCCGGATACTTCATCTTGAGTGCCTTTAACTGATCAACAAGCCAGTGCATGCTATCGCCACGGGGTTTCTTCATGGACGGCGAACCGAAAGCTTTGCGCAGTGCAGCCATTTCCCGGCTGGTCAAAGTCCCACCGCAAGTCTTGGTAGCAAGATCCCACAGTTCCTTGACCGTTGCACAACTGTGATGGATGTACCCTCCGATAACAACATTACGATCCGCATCAATAATTGCCATTTGGATGAGAAGAGGGCCCACAGTCTCGACATCCGTGGCAAAAGCATCTCGACGGTCACGAAGCCGTTCATAAAACTCGATTTCTTCATGCGTAATGCCTTGAATTATGTTTCTTTCATCTGCGAACCATCGTGCGGCCTCATTGGGAGTGCTGATATCGCAATTCATTCGCCGATTCTGGTTGTGTTCGACGGCAATCCTCACTGGTGATCGGGTCACACTTCTGTCCACCGCATTGAGGGCATGGCTCAAGCATAGATGGGTTCCCATAGCCAATTGGTTGCCGCAATTAAGTGTGTCGCATGCGTCTTGCTCAGCTGTCGGCGCACGCCATCTACCTGAACAGAACATTGAGCTTATCAGCTGACGGATTCCTCGGCAAGTTTCATAGACTGTTCCCAAGATCAACGTCTTCTGAAAGATGCCATTGGCGTTTCTTTTGACGGTAAAGGATACGATAGTGTTTCTCATGTTAATAGTTTTGTTGGAAACACAACTCAAAGTGTCCCATGCGCCAACGCATCTGATACCTTGGCGATAGAGGAGTATACCGTCGTACCCAATGGAAGCTGTTGAGAATTGTCAGATAGATGGCTTGATAATTGAATTTTGACTTACCAAGCTTAAACAGATTGTGGTCGTAAATCACTTCCTCATCCTTAAAAATAGCTTGGATACGTAACTAGGTAGGTATATTAGTTTCTACCTCCACATCAATGTCACTACGAGGGATATTTACCTGCTCATAGATTTCGGAAGATCTATATGACGGCTTGCGGCGTGCCCCGACCTGTTGACAATCCTCAATAAGAGCTCCAGGTAATGGTAGAGTCGATGTTGGGATATCCGCACTGGTGGAAATGTCAATGTAGGTGAAATTCGGATCGATCATGGTTGTCCTCCCCATGACTTCTTTCAAATCTAGGCTCTGGAGAGCTGCGAAGGAGCCCGTGACGAGCGCGTGTCGAACATTCAAGTGCACCATCAGGACTCTTCGTCGTGCTTGGCGACCTTTGGTTCTCGAGCTGAATTGACATTCCGGGAATGGGCAGCGGTTTGCCATTGCCATTGCCTCATGAGCCTCAAAGCGGTGCAGCTTCAAGGCCCAAAGTGTGAAGACGCCTGGGCTGTCTTGGCAATCTTCGTGCGAGCAAGTTTCATTTTGGCTAGCATGGCAAGCTTCAAAATGAAGCTGTAAGGAGGCTGCTCGAAAAAAACTCCTGGGGCAGTATGGACAAGTCTCCAGATCTTCTTCAGTTGCTGGCAGAACAGTGTCTGTTCTGACCCTAGCCGACTGTAACATTGTAGCAGGACAGCACTTGATGTGCCTCACGCATTCAAACCGGCTGCAAAAAGTCCTTTTGCATTCATCAATCGAACAGACGTCTTGCAGTGCCATAACATCTCCGTTCGTCGTTATAGTCGCGCATTCGAACAGGTTCGGAGCGTCATCTTCGTCGTCGCAATCGGAATCAGACGAGTCACTCTCATCGTCTGGGTAGCCAGACCCCCTGTCGCCATCGGAGTCTGAGTAGTCAGACTCTCCGTCCGAGCTGGGGTCGGAATCGGAGTCTGTGTCCACATGTTGGGCTGAGTTCGTTACATGTTGCCTTGAAGGTCCCAGTGGTTCTGGAGCTGCTGAGGGGCGACCTTCAACAAAATCACCTGTGTTCTCTTGCTTCTGTCTCATACTTCTAGAAATTTTCAAAAATCAGCTAGAGTTAAAATCCATAGCGAAGGATTAACTTACCTCGTCGCCACCATCTTTTGATTCCCAACGTTCGCTGTTGGCTGTTGGAGATCGGATCTGGAAGCAGGAAATCAGATATTTGAGAGGTTGGAGAAGAGAAATTGGAAATCTCGTGGCAGGGATTAGAGGAAATCTGGCATAGGGCCGGCACCGTGCCTGACAGGTACCGCAGGTGCCAAAGGTGCGTTTGTGCGCTGATGTCCGCCCAGGCATAGAGCTAGGGCTGTCAGGTAAGTCTAAAATGATTTGAATTCCAACTGGCAACTGAACATTAATAACACGATTGAGCATGGATCACCATTTGCACGATGTCCGTTTCTGTCTTGTCGCAATAGGTGCCATCTACCAAGAACGATGGCAGAAAAATACTCGCTGTTGCGAACCAGTAACATATCTCATGCGTTTGTTAAATTGTATGTCCAGTCACTTAAAGAGTTTTAGTCAGAAGAATTTTGCGGTCGACGGCAGATGATAAGCGCCAGACAATGCACCCGAACCTTTACTACTAGGTATGTCTTAGACATGTATGTGTATTCGTAACCTATTTAAACTCCCGACCTTTTAGCAGTTGTTGAGGACAACTCACTGACAGGCCCCAAATGGGACTGTTTGCCCGACTGTTGGCGCATTCATAAACAGGTAGAATACATGTATGCTTTCTGGTATTTAATAAGCCAAATGGATCTAATATATTTCTAAGATGTCGAGAATTGCAACAGTGCGTCGGGAGCTAACTGTAAATGTATCTAACTTGTCCCTTTGATAATGTAATCTCGTTTAAAAGAACTCTGTTGTTAAAGAATTATTGTGATTGGACGGGTATGGGTTCCTTTAGCCACTTCTAAACTGCTGATGTTATGTAAGGCTTGTAAAGGCGTGAGACAGTTGGCGAATTTAATATTCTTTTTAGACTGACGGCATAAGCCTGCAAAGGAATAAAGAGATTGCTGCTGTAAATATAATAAGAAGGACGCTCTGGCGATTGTGGATGGATCTCATGTCCTAAATTATAAAGAGCAGTGGAGATATGCCTGGCAGAGAGTTAGACTTTAATATTTGCACTCCAGCTAATACTAGTAAATTTCCCACTGATCTAAACAAAACCTTTAAATAAGTCACAGTCAAAGAGACTGGATTTCTCTGCGAGTTTTTAGATTATTAGGGTATTTATATAATAGAAACCGCGTGCCTTAATATTATATATAACTTTATAAGAAAGAATAATAAATATATATAAATATAAGTAAAGGAGAATATAGGGTCCTGTTAAGCTCTTTCCTTAAGTATAATATCTTTTACTTTTAGCCTCCTAAGTATTTAAAACTAAAGTTATATAATTTTATTTTTAATAATTAATTAATAACCCTATATTAAAAATTTTTTATTATTTTTTTAATAAAAATAAAAATATTATTATTATTTTTTAATATAAAATAATTAATTAAGTTTTTAAATTTATTTTTATTTAATATTTCCTTTTTTTAATTTTTTTTACTTATTTTATTAATTACTTAATTAACTTAATTAATTAACTAAGTTTATTAAACTTTTTTTAATATAATAATATATAATATTAATAATAAAATTTAATAGTATATTACTTTATTAATATAATAATATTATTAATTTATTTTTTAATATATATAAATATTAAGTTTTTATTATAACTTAATTTAACCTCTTATATAATTTAAAATAAGTATATACCTAAAATAAAGTTATTTTATTCTTATTAATAAAAAATTAAAGTACTAAACTTAATTACTAAAGTGCTTTATATAATTACTCCCTTAAATAATAAAGTAATAAATTATATTACTTTATAAAAAAATAACTTACTATATAAGAAAAAATATTTATATTTATTTAAATAGCTTAAATAATTAGTTATTAATATAGTAATAAAATTAATTATTATTTTAATTTATTAATTATATAATAAAATTACTTAATTATACCCTATTACTTTTATTAATATAAATTATAATTAATTTATTATTTTAAGAACTATATTATATTATTTAATATAAACTAATTTATTATATATTAATAACTCTTATTTAAATTAGTATTATATATTATTTAAGTAATAAAAAATACTATAGCTTTTTAAACCCTTAAACTTATTATTATTTTTAAAAGCTTTATTATAATTTTAAAAAAACTCTAAGTATAAAATAACTAATTAAAAAATAACTTAAAGTTAATTAAAAATACTAAAGTTATTAAAATAATTAAACTTAAGTAATTAAAACTTTTTACTAAAAAAGTTAATATTTTATAAACTTTTTTTAATTAATTTAAAGTTTATTATATTATTAATAATAAATAATTTTTAATTATTAAAAATAAGATTTTTTATATTTTTAATTATATAAAAAAAGCTATACTTAATTAATTTAAACTTATTATAAAAAATTATATTAAAATTATAAATATATTTTATAATAGTAAAATTATTTATATTTTTTTAAACTATATAAATTTTAAAATTATACTTTAGTTAATTTTTAAAATAATTAATAAAAAATAAATTATTAAATAAAAACTTAAGGACTTTTATTAAAAAAAGGCTATATTTAAGTATATTTTTTAATTTATATAAATTTTTTTAAAACTTAAATAAAAATATAAACTCTTAATAAAATATTTTTATAAAAATATTAAAAAAAAAATAAAAAAAAAATTATATAAACTTAATTATTTTAATACTTTTTAAAAATATATAAATAAAGTTATTAAAATTAATAATAAGTAATATAAATATTAAAAAAAGTATAAAAAAAAATTATAATTTTTTTTATTATATTATTATAAAGTTAACTAAAGTAAGAAATAATATAAAAAAATTATTTATATTTATAAAATAAACCTAAAATAAATAAACTTTAATATTATTATTAAAAAAAAAAATTCCTTTATTATAATTATAATAAAAAAAACTATATAATTTAAAATTATTAATTTAAAAAAATTAATAAAATATAAAAATAACTTAAATGAATTATTAATATTATTTATAAATTTAAGTAATTACTAAATTAAAAATATAATAATAATAAAATTTTTAACTTAAATATAAGTTAAGTTATAAAAAAACTTAAACTTAATAAATTAATATAAGCCTTAGTAAAAAAACCTATTTTAAAAAAAGTTAATAACCTTAAGAATATAATATTTATATATAATATTATACTTTTACTAAAAATTATTAATATTATTATAATTAATATTATATTTTTATTATAAAATATACCTAAGGTATAATAATATATATAAATTTATATAATATTATTTATAAATTTTAATAAAATTAATACCCTTAAGGTATTTAAACTTATAATTAAAATCCTTAAGAAAAATAATTTTAAAATATAATAATAATTTATAAATTAAAAAAAAATATAATATAATATTTACTTTACTAAAAAATATAATTATAAAAACCTAAAATTATATATTAAGTTTTATTATAAAACTTATATAATTTTTAAAATTTAAAAATAATATATTTAATAATATAAATCCTTAGATTTTAAAAAATATAACTTAGTAAAATAATATTAATATTATTATTAAAATTATTATTATAATATATAAATTAAGAAAAAGCTATATAATTATAATTATAATTTTTAAATTTATAAAAAATAAAAAAGTATAAATAATATTAAAGCTTATTATAAATATAATTTTATAAATATATTTATTTATAATTATTATTAATATAAAATATATAATAAAAAACCTTAAGTATTATAAATATTATTATATATTAATAATATTAACTTTAAAAAGAAATAGCTAAAATAGTTTATAATTTTTAATTTTAAAAATATTTATTATATAATTTAGCTTAAAAAAATAAAAAAACCCTAAAGAATAATAATTTAAAAAAAAAATAACTTTTATAAAAAATTTATTAATATTATTATATAATTAATATAATTATTAAAATTTTTAATAAAAGTAATTATTAAAAAATATAAATTTATAATATATTTTAATAATAAAACCTAAAGTAATTATATTTACTTATATTTATATTTAAGCTATAATTACTATATAAAAATAAAAGTAATAAAAATTATAATATATTTATTATAAATAATTAAAAATTTAAATATAATAAAAGAATTATTAATATTAAAATATTTTTCCTTAATATTAAAATTTAAAGTAAAATAAAAAAAATTAATTTTAATATATTAAATATCCTAAGATTTAAAACCTTATTAAAATATATATAGCTAAGGGAAAATAACTCTTAAATTAACTAAAAAATAAACTAAGTAAGTTAAATATATAATTTTAGTTTACTAAAAATATTAAAACTTAAATTATAATTATTTTAAAAAAAATAATAAAAGGGTAATATATTATTAAAAAACCTAAAGCTTTTTAAACTAAAAAATAAAAAGTCTAAAATAAAAAAAGTTAAATTTAAAACCCCTTAAGAAATATTATAATAATACTAAAATAAAACCAAAGGCTAGGGCGTAGCCTTCCTTTGACCTAGCTATTATAGCTTTACTAAACCTCTTAATAATAAATATAACCTCCTCTATACTAAAATAAATAAAATAAAGTAAAATAATAAAAAGTTTATAAAATAATTACTTTAATATAAATAAAACTTTAAAATTTAAATTAAGCTTTTTTAAAAGCTAAAAAAAAAGCTAACTTTAACCCTAAGGAATAGTAAATAACTAAAGTTTTATAATAATATTATAAATATAAAAAATTATATTAAAAAACTTTAAAAATAAAACTATTACTTTATATAAAATAAAATTATAAAATTATATTTAAAAAAGGGACTTTTTTAAAGTTTTATAAAATTTATAACCTTAGTAAATTTAAGCTTAAAATACTTAAAAAATAAATTAAAAAATAACTTTAAAAAAAATATATTATATTTTTTAATTTATTTATTAAATACTTTATTATTTTTATATTAAAAAAAAATAAAAAACTTTAATTAATTATTAATTATTACTAACTTAATAATATT